TGCAGGGAGGGCGCCGCATCCCACCCCTCTTCGGGTCGGGAAAGGGATTTTCCATCCCTACTGCAAAAACAAATAACGATAATAATAATAATAATAATAGCAATAATAATAACACCTCCAGAGCCGGGCTCTCGCCTGCAGCGGTGACCTATTTTATCGGCCGGCGGAGTTTTGGGGGGGTTTGCTGGAGTTGCAGAGGGCAGGCCTGAGCTGGGAAGATCCACGGGAAATCCCCTGGGATGTGCCGTGGCCCCGGGATCGCGGCTCCCGGCACCGCCGTGCCTCCCCCATCCCTWAAAGTGCGGGCTTGTGGTCGCCCCAGCGCTGGCTCCGTGCCCGTCCTGACGCCCCGGGAAATGTCCGAGCGGATTTKGGGGGAGGGGAAGAAAGTGCAAGCTGGGAAAAATGAGGAAGCGATGGTGGTGGGATGGTGGGATGGGGCTCGGCACCCCCCGACCGCGGTACTGGGGTGAAACTGGTCGGGCTTGGGTTTGGGTTCGCGCTGGGCACTCACACYCGGCCTGTGAAATTCCTTCTGGCGTGAAATCGCTGCTGAAAGCGCCCCTGCATCCCTTCCTAGAGGAGATGCTGTTTTGGGGAGTGCTTCATGCCCTGAGGTGCAGATGGAGGTACCCAGAGCCCACCCGAGCCAGCAGCCCCGCCAGGAACACGGGGAAAAGTTGGGAATTCAACCTTCCTTCCACACCCTGCCTCGGCAAGAACCCGAGGAAGATTTGCTTTACAAAGCAAAATTCCTCCTTGGACAGACACTAAGGGATTTATTATTTTTTAATTTTTTTTTTTTTTTTAATTTTTTTTGGATCTGTGCTGAAATCTTGCTGGGTGCAAACGTTCTGGCTCTAACTGCCGAGTTTCCCCGAGGATGCTGGCTGGGCTCAGCACCGCTCCGGGGGCTTTTTTTTTTTTTTTTTTTTTCCCCCAGGGTGGCCGGAGGGTCCCCTTTGCCACCTGGGCTTGGAATGACGGCGGAGCTTTGTTCTCCCCGGGAGGAATTAGCGGAGCGTTCGGTTATCGCCAGGCGAGATAAACGGCCCTGTGTTCCCGTCTCGCGTCTGGAGCGGAGACATTGTCACCCCCTCCACAAAAATAACCCGCTGCCGCCTTTGGAGATGGATCCTTTGCAAAAGGGAGGGAGCAGCGGCAGGTCGGTTGCCCGCGAGTTGATTAAATATTGGTTATTTTTAAGATGCAGATTTTTCTGCTAGAGGAAAAATAAGAGGGGGAAAAAAAAACCCAAACCCTTTTTTGCAGATGAACTGAATGTGTCAAAACATCAGAGGGTCTTTGAAGGTTTTGGGGGAATTGCTGATTTTCCCGTCCTCCCTCTGTGCTCCAGCTGGAGGAGAAAACCAAGGGCTCTCCCACGCTGCTGCATTTGAGCCTTTATAGATGGGGACGTGGTGATGGCCGTGACAAAGTGACTCTCCTCCAAGAGGTGCATGGGATGAAGTTTTTAATTTGCTGCCACATTTGCCTGGCCACAAAAACGGAAATATCTAGATCCTCGATGTTTTGCRTCCTAGATGTCTCCTGACATCCCATGTGTCCTGTGAAACTGGAGGGGTGGACATTGGTAGGGAGGATGAGCTCGGGGTCAGGCTCTGTGCCTCCTGCTCCTATTTTTTCCTTATTTCTAAGGAAAATGTGGATTTAGAGTGCAGGTTTGTGCAGGGCAGGGATGGCCCCATTGGGTTTTCTGCATAGGGGACACCTGAAGACTTGTCCCCATGTTCTTTGGGGCTGCTGTCCCCTCTCCAGCCAACTCGGTGCCCATCCTCCTGTCCTGATGATGAAAACTGGGATGCCTTTGGATAACGGGAAAGACTGGCTGTGGTGGCGCAGATGTGATGGGTAAAGGACTTAATTACAATAAACTGTCTTTTTTTATTATTGTTTTTACGATTACATCTTTTGCCTGGAGCCAGGGCTGTTGAAACCGTGTCTGAGTTAAAGCCCTGCTYGCTGAGCTGCTGGAAAAACCATGATAAAAATAAGGATAAAAATAATGCACGTCCATAAAAATGTTGAAAGTGTTGGGCAGGAAGGATCTGATGCATCCAGATCCTTGATCTGGGCAACCAGACCTAATGGGAGATGGGCTGTGGCAGGAGARTTGGAACAAGATAATSTTTAGGGTCCCATCCAACCCAAACCATTAGAGGAGCATGGCTGGTGCTTCCCAAAGAGCCCTGGTCAAGGCTGGGTTTGGGATGGAACTGGAGATGGGYACCATCCCTGGGATCAGAGCCAGGGTTTGGAGACAATGCTCTGGGATGGAAAGTGCTCCCRAGGATGTTGGGACAGGTTCAACCTTGGATCTCTCCACCAATTTTGTGGTCTGGAGTTGGGTTAGGAAATGCTGTGGGTTTAGGGTTCACTGGGAGCTGGCTGTGGAGCAAACCTTGGAGGTGTCGAGGCTGTTGATCTGCCTGGAAGGTCATGGTGGGTGCCACAGGGATGGGCCCTGGGGTGCCAGGCAGGGGGATGCTGCCTTCTGATGAAAGCTTCGTTCAGCAGCACTTGAGAGGAGGCTCTGTCCATCCATCCGTCCGTCCATCCATCCATCCATCCATCCCTCCATCCACCCATCCACCCATCCACCCATCCATCCATCCATCCATCCATCCATCCCTGTCCATCCATCCCTCCATCCATCCGTCCCTTCATCCATCCACCCATCCACCCATCCACCCATCCACCCATCCATCCATCCATCCCTGTCCATCCATCCATCCATCCATCCCTGTCCATCCATCCATCCATCCATCCATCCATCCATCCATCCATCCATCCATCCATCCTACCATCCCTCCATCCATCCCTCCGTCCACCTGTCCATCCACGCACCCACCTGGTTTCTGGGGATCTCAGCCCCATCCCATCCATGTGTGGTAGCACATGGGGAAATGGGGCTGGTTTGGGGTTATGATACCTTCAGGCTCTGCTCGAGGGATGTCGTGGCTGCCCCTCTGCACCCATCCCTGCCCCCGTGTCCATTCCTGCTCCTGGCACTGAATTTGGGGTTTCTGGAAGGGATCCTATGAGCTATGGGGGGCTCTGAGCATTGCCTGCCCTGCTGCATCCACTCCKTCCCTCAGTGACAGGGGGGACATCTGTGGGGTCTCTCGGGGGTGATGCCTCCTCCCCAGCCTCGCAGGGCGCTCCAGGCTGGGCAGCGGTCCGGATCTGGCCCCTGGCGCAGCCGCTTGGCCGACAGCCCGGCTGGGGAGGTCAGCRTTGGGTTTTGTCCTCGTTTCCTCCCTCAATCTTCCCTGCGCTTGTTTTTCTCGGGCAGGGGAGGGAGGGGGACAGTGGCTTTGCGTGCGTGAGTGTCCCCCGGGCTCTTCCACCCTGGCAGTGACAATGGGGGTGGTCCTGCATCCCGCAGATGGAGGGCAGCATCCCATCCCATCCCATCCCATCCCATCCCATCCCATCCCATCCCATCCCATCCCATCCCATCCCATCCCATCCCACTGCCTGCTCCCGTGCCATTGTGGTGTCTCGGGGACATCTCCATCTGTCGGGTGTCACTGGCTGTGCCAGGTGCTGGCAGGAACCCCATGGCCTGGCTGTCCTGTCTGCCCTCAGCATTTGCCAGGGTGATGCCAGCTCTGCTGAAATCCATCAGAATCCTCTCGGGATTTATCCCCAGACCTGGCTTTGTGCAGCTCTGGAATTTCCTGCAGAACTTCTGCACTGTGTTTTGGGTCTGGCTGAGCTGCGCCTCTTTCAGCCCTGACCGAGGGGACAGGGACACACAGAGGGGCGAATCCAGCCTGGCCTCAGTGCCTCTTCTCTCCCGAAGGGTTGGGATTTGTCCTGGGTTGAAAATAATGCAGTGTTGCTGGAGCCCCAGAGCTGTGCTTGCGCAGGGGATGGTGTTCAATTCCCACATGGCAGAGTGGGCTCTCAGGGCTTGGCACTGCCCTCACTGTCACCCCAGSTGGAACAGAGGGACAGTGTCCTCGATGCCATCACAGTGGTGGCACCCCCAGGAGCAGCAGCACCTCACTGGGGCAGTTTGGATATGGGGGTGACGGCAGCATTGATCCGTCCATCCATCCTTGGCAGTGTCGCTGTGGCTGCAGCTCTGTGTGCCAAAGGAAAGGAGAAAAGCACCCAGAGCAGCTGGTGGGGTTTAAAAAAAAAATTAAAAATATGAGATAAATAAGAAAGCACCAAGCCATTAACCCTCTGTGGGCTGTGCTGTTGGGGAGTCAGTGCCTGCTCCCCGTGGATGATGCTCCCCTTGTGTTGCTCATCCCACCTCATCCCCCTACTCTCCCCTTGCTCCTGGAGGCCATGGCACTTCCAAAAAAAACCCCAAATTAACCTTTTCTACCTTTGCAAAGGTGTCCCYATGGCTGCAGGGAGGCAGGGATGGGGGAAGGATTGTCCCTGTTCCCCTGCACTGGGGACAGTCCTGGTGGGGCTGGTGTTGCTCCCAACAGCCCAAAAGCGTCCTTGAGSCAAAGCCTGTAAATGCTGGATATCAGTAATAAAATTTAGGAATAATCAAAAGGGAGGGRAAAAAAAAATCCTGGGAAGCATCTGACTGTGCCACAACTGGGCTAATGCTCTTCTTCACTTGTGMAGAGGCTGGGAGGCGTTTTTTGGGGTGTCCCCGGGATGGGAGGGGCTCTGGGAGCATCGCCGAGCCCCTTCCCSTCTCCTGCTCCCTGTAGCTGCACATGGCTCTACTTTGGGCACCCTCAAGCCTTTTTAACAACGCACAGGGAACAATCACCGCTGCAGAGGGTGTCCCCACCATCCCCACGGGCCCCGGAGCTGGGCCGGGATGTCCCCGCGGGTGCGCGGCACATCCCGCGGGCAGGATGGGCGCTCGGGGCCGTGCCGGCCGGCGCCTCGCCAGGCGGGGCTGTGGCCGGGCCATTGTTTTCCCTTCCTGCTTGTTTTTCCGGACAACCCTCTCCTAATTAAATAAAAACACCCGTCGGGGGAGCGAGCAAACCCCACCCCCAGCGCGGTCCCGTGCCGAAAGCACCCAGGGCAGAGCTCCCCGGGGAGGGAGGGACAGCGGAGCCGTCAAGGTAGGCGACAGGCGAGGGGCGGGCGCCTGGGCATGTGCTGTGTCCCTCGGACAGGTTTCCACGCGTGGCCGTGCTCCCARAAGGGGTGGTTTGGCAGTGGGATGTGCACGGGCCGGGCAGCGCTGCTCGTTCGTGGGGTATCCTGGTTTGGGGAGCGGTGGGAAGACACGCGCGTCGCATCATCCTCAGAAAAACCCTCAAACGGCCTCAAAACGGGGTGAAAGGCTGAAGGTTTCATCCAAGGGTCTGGAAGGCAGAGGGAGAATTGTAGGAGGCCGAGGATTAAAACYGAAAGCGCGAGGGTTTGGGGTTTGTAACGATGCCCCTTCGTATGGTCTGAGCTGATCTGTAAAAATGGGGGTTTAATTTTATTTCTTTAGCGAAAGTCAAGTTTGGACATGAAGTAGTTTCAGCCCAGCTCTGTCACYCTGAAGTGCAGCAATGTCCAAATTGAGAAGAGGACATGGGGGACTTATTTTTTGAGGAGGCAAGTGCTGACATTGTATTTAGCTCCTTATTAAAGCACTTTTCCTTAATGCAATTTAATACTGAAGGTCAACTATGAATGCTTTGGTGGTTGGAAACGATACAGAAAAGCAGTCTGCTTTTTTTTTCTYGTACATCTTGAGGGTGAAAAATTTAAAGAAATCCCCAAATTTTGTGCTTATGGAAAGTGTTTCACAGGCAGCTGGTCTTGTCACCACATAAATGTGAATTTTATGCCCTAAAACCCCCTGTCCTTGTGTTTGTAGGGGAAAAAATTACTTATGGTGCTCAATGCCATGGTGATGAGGGTGATAGAAATGAATAAATAATGAATTAAATAAATAAGAGGCTGCTGAAGGTCAGGGATGKTCTTCTGGGGGACTGAGGATTTGAGTATTTAAATATATCCAKAGTGGCCCAACCTACCGGTCCTTTGGGGAGTTTTAGAGCTGCAGGAACATTTAAGGGTCTGGTTCTCCATAGCTGCCAAGAGAAATGGCATTTTGTCATGATACATTGATTTAAATTCAGCAGCAAATACCTTTCAGGGCAGGTAATCAGGGGTTGGGGGGGGTCTTTCTAGGGAAACTGAGGCACGCAGGGGGATGTGGGTGGAAACAGAGCTCGGGCTTCACCTCCAATTGTGGGATTTTTGGTGGTTTTGCTGGAGAGAGGCTGCCCTGGTCCAGTGAGCATCAACTGCTCCTTCCACCACCATTCCCCTATCACTTTTATCCTCTTCTTGCAGTTCCCTGCCATCAGGGCTCATCCAACCCCATTCTCTCTCCTGGAGCATCCTCCCCATCCTCTGGCCGCCCTTCTGCCCTGCCCCAGCAGCTGTTTTGGGATGGGACTTCGGCAGCATCACATGAAAACCCTTAAAATAGAGCTGGAGGGCAGCGTCAGGGCGGGGAGGGCTGGCTGGAGGCGCCGCCGGCCCCTCGGGTGGGGAGYTCGTGGCCACGCTGCTTTCTAATAATTTTTAGGGGTGTTTTTCTGTGCTAATGGTGCCAAAATCTTGCTCAAGCGTTGGCAGTGTGTGGTGGGGGCCCTCAGTTTCAGGGTTCATCCTGGTTTAATGCACTCARTGAGCTCCCCAAGTCCAGACGGGATGGGGATGGGATGGGACCTGTTCCTGTGGTTGTTTGGGTTGCTCCTGGGATTAAACAGAGCCAGAGAGTCAGGGTGGTGATGGTGGAAAAAAAGCAAAACCCTTGATTCTTTTTAATTTTTTTTTAATATGCATTTTTAATAACAGTATTTTTTTTAATATTAAAAGAGATCTATATTTCAAATATTTGCGTTTTCCCAGAGGAAGCGCCCTGGATTTAACCCTCCCATTAATCCCCATTAGTCAGGCTTCTCCGCTCCAGTGGAGCTGCAGGGACGGGAGCTGCCGCAGGGGTATTTTGGGGCAAGTTGGGGTCTTTCTGGGGATCTCACCCCGGCAGGCGCCTCCTGTCTCGGCCGGGGCTCTGGCTCCGGGCAGGCTCACGAAAAGCATCTGAGAGCAATAAAGAGCAAAAGCCTCCCGCTGACAAGCCCGGGCTGAAGTCACCGGCGGGACGCGGCCAAGACACGCATTGTCCTCGCCGCTGCTGGGACTGATTAGAGCTGCCTGGCAAGGACCGCCGCTGGGTGAGGGATCGGCCCCTTTTGCCAAAAAACCTCGATCCGGAGGGCAAAAAAAGCCGGCTTTTGTTTTCCAGGCTGGGCGATGCCGCCCGACAGACCCATTTCCCCCTGTTTTGCACCCATTTCTCTGCCAAGCTTGGGGGATCCTATGCGGGGAATGAGGTGAGGTGGATCCCCGGAGGAAAAACCTGAATCTAGGTTTGTTTTTTTCCAGGAGAGAACCTGGCAAACAGCGAACTGCTCTGCTGAATTCCTGCTGTCTCTCCAGTTTTTTGATCTTTGTTATATCGTTATTTATTTTCTGCGTGTCTTGGGGGGGCTGAACCATCCAAGACCTCATCAAAATGTTCTTGGCAGTCGCGAGGCTCAGAAAACGGGGCGGTGGATGGRTGTTCCAGCTGGGATGCAGTATTTTGTAACAAATATGTATATAAAGAATGCTTATGTCTTAAATATTTACATATATATATATWTTATATAAGTAATTTACAGATAAACTACTTATAGATAAACTACTAGCATTAATGTATAAAATATTGAAAATAGTAAATACATATAAAATATAAAAAGTATATTAAAATATTTTAAAATATAAACAACACCTGACCCTTTTTCTACCTCTTTGCCCCACTCCTGGCTGCATAGCCAAGAATTTGGAGCAGAACTGGTTTTCCCATATTTTTCCCTGGGTGCCAGCACTTGCTGGGGCTCTCCAGGGCTATCAGGACCATGCAAAGCTGAGATCCCAATTGGCTGAAAGGGTTGGTTGTAGAGCAGAAATCCAATGAAAATGAAAAACTTTGGCAGGGAGGGAGAAGAGGTTTTTTTGCTTGTTGGGAAAACAGAGAAGAAAACACCCTTCTTTATTATTTAAACATTTTTGTCTGTGTGTGCTTTTGCCTTTGGCTCACCAGAAAAAAAAAAAAAAGAACAAAAAGACAAACAGAACATGTCTTGCTGGAATTTGTGCATTGATGGAGGGCTGCCATTTGTCCYAGAAAAAAATGGGAGCTGAAAAACTTTTTGGAGCAGGAAAGGCAGGATGAACCTGGCAGGTTAAATTCTCCATCCCTGTCACTGTTCTGCACCATGTCCTGGGTCACATCCTCAGGAAGGAGGGTCTGGATGTGTCTCCATCCGGGATTTGCGTGTTCAGCAAGGGAAGTGGAGGGAAAGGGTATGTCCCACCTTMTTTTAATGCAAGATGCAGGATTTAGGGCGTGGGATATCCCTTGGATTTGGGATGTAGCGGGCAGACTTATCCTGGGCCTCAGTAATGACCAGAAAAGGGGTTGAACATCCAGGGATGGTCTGGACCATGTGAAATACGTGGCAGTTGGATCAAATATCAGGAAAACTCTGCCTTGGGAGGGTTGGTAGTCACAGCATTTCCCAGCCTGGGGGCGCTGCTCCCTAATTTGAATTTTTCCAGGTAGTGCCTTTCCCCAGGCAATGGAAAATGAGCATTAAGAAGTGCATAAATCATCCCGATGAATCCAGCTGCGAGTGAGCTGCTGTCGGGAGCAAGAGCACGCAGTGTAATTCAGAAATATCAGAGTATATTGAGCTTTATGTAATTATCTGTAGAAGCAGGGAGCTCTAAAATCCTAATTTTCTTTTATTTAGGGGGTTAAATCTCAGCAGGTGCCTAAAATTGGCTTCCTGCTTGGGGCAAATATCCACCTGGATCTCCATCTGGTTCAGGAGGTTGAGGCGTCCCCTCTCCTGTGTGACATCTCTGAGTGAGTGTGGGCATCTGAGCCTGGCTTTGGACCTCCTTGGAGTCACCTGGACCCAAGTTCATGGTGGAGCTTCGTGGTTGGTGTCTTCAAGCTGGGCCTGGTGGTAGAGCTCCTTGGTGTTCTGAGGCTGAGGCTGGTGGTGGAGCTGTTTGGTTATCATCTCCAGGCTGGGGCCGGTGGTGGAATGTTTTGGTTGGTATCTCCAAGATGAGGGTAGTGATGGATGTTCATGGTTGGTATCTCCAAGATGAGGCTGGTGGTGGAATATTTTGGTTAGTATCTCCAAGATGAGGCTGGTGATGGATGTTCATGGTTGGTATCTCCAAGATGAGGCTGGTGATGGAGTCTTTTGGTGGATATTTCCAAGCTGGGGCTGCTGGTGGAATGTTTTGGTTGGCATCTCCAAGCTGAAGCTTGTGGTGGAGCTTCTCAGGTGGCATCCCTGATGCACGGCCAGAGATCGATGGCCTGGCTAGGAGGGTRTTTTTTGGGGGAAAGAGCCCTGAATGATTTTATTTCCTTCCTCCCCGCAGCTGATAGTCGAAAAGACGACTGACTACCCTTCGGCTGAGTACTCCCTGGTGGAGGATGTAGCCCTCCACTTCACGTGTTTGATGGACAGACTGAACGAGCAGCGCCTCTTTCAGCCGGACCTGTGCGACGTGGACATCGTGCTGGTGCAGCACAAGAGCATCTTCCCGGCGCACAAGGGGGTCCTGGCAGCCTACAGCCAGTTCTTCCACTCCCTCTTCACCCAGAACAAGCAGCTGCAGCGCGTGGAGCTCTCTCTGGAGGCCCTCACCTCGCAGGGCCTCCAGCAGATCCTCAACTTCATCTACACCTCCAAGCTGCTCGTCAACTCCTGCAATGTGCAGGACGTGCTGAACGCGGCCGCCGTGCTGCAGATGAACAACATCGCGTCCTCCTGCCAGGACCTGCTGGACACGCGCTCGCTCAGCCTGGCCACTGACATGGCCCTGCCCGCCGAGGGCTGCGCCGGACCCCCRCCCTACTACTGCGAGATCAAGCAGGAGGTGGACGCCCCCCACCCCAAAATCTACGCCCGGGAGGGCAACGACCCCTTCTCGGTGCGGGTGGAGGACGGGACGGGCAGCGGGACGCTCCCACCAGGCCCAGCCAAGCAGTACTACAAGGAGGAGAAGGATGGTGGCGCCGGCGCCGTGTGTAAGATGGAGGGCGAGGAGTCTGAGGAGGACCTGGACAGCCAGGGCTCCTACAACCGGGAGCAGATCATCGTGGAGGTGAACCTCAACAACCAGACCCTCAACGTCTCCAAGGGCACGGAGGGCAAGGCGGCCACCAGCGAGACGGCCGTGATGGGGCGGCCGGACGGGGATGGGCGTGACACGGAGGAGGATGGGGAGGAGGAGAATGAGGAAGGGGAGGAGGAGGAGGAAGAGGAAGAGGATGCRGAGGTGGGGGAGGAGGAGGAGGAGGAGCRCAGCGAGGAGGAAGACCTRGAGGAGACGACGGAAGAAGAGGACGACGACGATGACGATGAAGATGCCTCGGAGATGAAAAGGGAGAAGAGCGGGCAGCCCCGCAGGGGCAGCAGGGCATCCAAAGCCACCAAACCCTCCATGGCAACCAGGTCCCAGGAGATGGCCAAGGTGGAAGAGGAGGAGGAGGAGGAAGAAGAAGGCCAGAGGGGAAGGAAGAGAAAGAAGGAACAAGATGGCTTGGGCCAGAAGGTGAAGCTGGAGGAGAAGCAGCAYTATCCATGCAAGAAGTGTCCCCGGATCTTCAACAACCGCTGGTACCTGGAGAAGCACATGAACGTCACGCACAGYCGSATGCAGATCTGYGACAAGTGCGGGAAGCGCTTCCTGCTGGAGAGCGAGCTCCTGCTGCACCACCAGACYGACTGCGAGAAGAACATCCAGGTGAGCCGGCCCCTCCGCCCAGGGCATGGACCCCACAGGGTGAACGTCCCACCAAGGGGGAATTCCTTACCCAGGGGGGGACATCCCACCAAGGGGGGATTCCTTGCCCAGGGGTGGAACATCCCACAGGGGATGGATGTCCTGTCAAGATGGGGACATCCCACCGAGGGGGGAATATTTTATCCAGGGATGGAGCATCCCCCTAGGGATGGACGTCCTACCAAGGGGGAATTCCTTACCCAGGGGAAAACATCCCACTAGGTATGAACATTCCATCATGGGAGGATCCCTTACCCAGGGATGGAGCATCCCCCTAGGGATGGACATCCCAACAAGGGGAAATGCCTTACCCAGGGGTGGAGCATCCCACAGGGGATGGATGTCCTGTCAAGGTGGGGACATCCCACCAAAGGAGGAGCATCCCACCATGATGGGWCATCCCAAAGAGGGAGGAACATCCCAAACACCATGAAGGTCATCTCGCCCAGCTACACCATGGAATGGGCTCGTGCTCAGATAATGCTGGTGTTGCAGCTGGYGTATGGCAGATGGGAGGGAATCTTCATTCATCCGTGAGTCATAACAGGCTCAGGGAGGTCCCACAGTGGCCTGGGACCAGAGGATTTGTCCCAGGGGGGCTGGGGCCTCCCCTTGGTTGGCCCAGTGGAAACACAGAGTTAATTTTTGAGGGGTAATTTTTCTTTTTAATTGATTCAGTTAATCTGGATAAAACATTACGAGCCCCTGATAGAAACACACTCTAGCCGTTCCCACCCAGTCTGAACCCACTTTAGCTTAATTTGAGGATTTGCTGACAGGAGTTAAAATGGTTTTAATCTGCCTTTTGTGCTTTTTTTTTGGTGTGTATTAGCAAATTTCTGAGTGCATTTGACGTCCATGTGTGGCTCAGGTCCTTCCCCTGTGCTAACGAGATCCTGTGTTGGCCAACTGGCTCTGTGAAATCAGTGCAGATTTGGGGGGATRAGGAGACCCYCTCCCCCCAATCAGAGTAGCAAGGACATGTGTTCCTGAAGATTCTSCAAATCCCACCTTGTAATTCCTGATGAGCTCTTTTACAGGATGCCGCTGCTAATAATTAAAAATAAACCAGTTTCTGGAGAGCTTCTCCCATCACTCTTCCCACCAGTGACCAGATTTTAAATGATCTCACAGCTCTCCTGGATGAGGGTAACACAACCCAAGTGCTGCTGAGCCCTTCGCCCATGGCATCCCAAATAAAACAGGGAATGAGGCAGATCTTGGCGAGCAGGGAACATGRAGGCAGGAGCAGTCTTGGCTCATAGGTCAGTGCTGCCTGCACTGACCCTTTGGTGCATCTTCCTGACAAAGTCACAGTGCTGAAGTTTCTTTTTTTGGATGCTTTTTCCCRGAATAGATGAGTGCAGCTCCAATACCTGCATGGTGGTGGCTCTTTCCCAGCCTAACATAAAACCTGAGCAGTTAAAAAGGAGTTTTCCCCAGAATGTTTCTTCAACTCCATCTGCTTTCCAAGTGGATAACATAGAGTTGTAACATCACTGTGGGTTTTTTTTTTCTCCCCCCTCCTTTTTATCCCTTTTCCAGACCATTTTGGAATAGGATGAACCACAACTGCCCGTGCAGTGACCTCCTTCTGTGGAAAAAGGGATCATTGTTCCCCACTTAACTGAGCATTTTGAATTTTACAAATAGCCCAATCCACTCCATTTGCTTAGATAATATTGAATAATTTTATCAGTATAGCATGGAATTGTTTCTGCATGGAAAATAATTTTTTTCAGCTCTGTACCTATAATAGGCATTTTTTATTTCTTGGGTTTAAATCAGATCCAGGGAGGAACTATCCATCTTACCCAGCTGGGTCTTCTGCTTTCCGCTGTTTTGTCCCCAAATTTCATCCTTAAAGCTTTGGGTTTTAAGCATCATCTCACTCCCTGTGGTCATTCAATAATGTGCATCCTACCTCCACCCCCTGGAAAGGAATTTATCCTTTGCCTCATTGTGCTGTCCCTCAGACTCTTTTTTTGGCCAGCATCAGTATGGTTTTCCTTTTATCCTGCAAGAGTTTATATCCTCATTTCCTCCCTAATTTGATGTTACTTTCACATTTTTGAGTGATGATCTTCAGCATTAACTGAGCTCGGCCCTCCAGGGTGTTTGGTMCCATCCCCGGGGGTTTTCCTATCTCTGCTGCTTCCCCTCTACCTTTCATTTTGAAATTTCCCTGCAGCCTCTTTCATTTTAAGTGGAGAAAATGGATATTGATGTCTTTGATATCAGGCTCTGGTCCTGAATCTATCCTGAAATATCCCTGAAAGTCAAGATGAAGCTGTTCTGATCAATGGTAATACAGACTTGAGAACAGTGGGACTCRAAGGACTACTCATGTTGACATTCGAGCATGACTAGATGAAGATGATGAGGGTTGGGAATGATTCTGTGACCCTAATTTTTCCTTTGGGGCACCCAAATATAAATATATTTGGAAAAATACTGTGACTTCACAGCACAGTGGTGTATTTTCCACRATATCACAGTGGAATTTGGTTGAARCCCGTCAAGGAGCCTCTGTTCCTCTGGGAAGGAGGAAAAGTGGAGGAATCCCTCCCTCCCTGGGTTCACCAGTACAGCTCAGCCACGTTGTTGCAAGATGCCTTCAAGGCATGAATTATTTTCTCAACAAATCTGTGAGGAGAGAAGGGATGGTTTTATCCCTGCTGACCAAGAGGAATACGAGTCACGGAAAGATAAAGGAGAGGAAGTTGACCCTTGGCTCCTGGCACTGGTTTCCTTTGTGGACATCTCTCTCCTGTGTTTCCCTGAGGCTGAATTGGTGTCAAATGCTTCAAACAGATCTCACACAAACTGAAGTTTTTCCTGGGAACTTCCAGAGAAACATTGAAYTTGTTGGAGCTGAAGCGATTCTCTGCCATAACTTCTTGGGGAAGACTTTGCATGCCATGTTGTTCCACTTGTGCTGATGAACTGGTGATTTGGGTCCATTTTGCTCCATTTGGATATTACGGAATCATAGATATATTTGGAAAACCAATTTAGTGGTGAAGTATCCATAATATCTGCTGAGGACTGGGGTAGTGCTGCCCTGGCTTGGGATTCTCCTTCTTTTTATATTTTTTTGCAGCCTTCCAATGCACAGAGGGTTGGGATTATTTTACGTAATCTCTTAATTTAGGAATAAAATTCCCAGTTGGGAATAGGGCCCTGGTGCATGAGCTGCTGCTCCTTAGAGTCCTATCTACCCACTGATGGAGATTCCAYGTCCTTCCCTGGAAGGTCATTGTCCCTTGCTCATCCCATGGATAGAAACTTGATGTTTGGAGGTTTTGAAGTGACACAGTCTGGATCAGAAGTGCTGGTTGTTGAGATTTYTGGTATCAGCCATAGCTTTTGCAGTGCTGCTCCCCTTCCATGGCTGAAGCTGGCTCCTCTGCTTCCCTGACCTCCTCCTGTCTCCTTGCAGTGTGTGACGTGTGGGAAGGGCTTCAAGAAGCTCTGGTCTCTCCACGAGCACAACAAGATCGTCCACGGCTACGCAGAGAAGAAGTTCTCCTGCGAGATCTGCGAGAAGAAGTTCTACACCATGGCCCACGTGCGCAAACACATGGTTGGTGAGTGCGGGAGGCACCGGTGCCACGGGGGAGCCTTGCTGGGGGTGTTACCCATTAATTTGGCAATGAAAGACATTTTTTTGTTGTTTCATGTTGGGTGTTTAGGGCTGGGCTTACTCTGGGGTGAGCTTTCTCACATCGACATCTTGAAATTCGGCCTGATATTCAATGCTGGAAAAATGTCTGCCCAGGGCTGGGTTTGGTGGTGGTGCTGGGGAATCCCATTTATTTGATTGATCAGAAGTGATCAGAGGAAGGTTGGAAGTGTAACCAGTGTCAAAGAGGACCAGGACTGGGCTTTTAAAAGCAAACTGCATGTGGCAACATTGGTTGGTTCCCTGGGCCTTGGAGCCACCCAAGAGATCCAAAAGAATGGGGGTTTGGCAGGGAAGTTCTGCAAAAGTTGCTGCCATAGATCTTCCAGGGATGCTTTGGGTTTGCTGGGGTTGGGCAGCGGCACTGGGAGCTCAGCTGGGATGTGGGGGATGGGGGCTGGAAGCGTGTGGAGGCTCCTGACCCCGCCCCTGTGCCCCCAGCACACACCAAGGACATGCCCTTCACCTGTGAGACCTGCGGCAAGTCCTTCAAGCGCAGCATGTCCCTCAAGGTCCACTCGCTCCAGCACTCCGGGGAAAAGCCTTTCAAGTGTGAGGTAAGGTGCTGGCTGTCCCCTGCCCCTCAGCCTCTCAAATGAGGCCAAAACCACTGATCTGGGGAAAGATCTTCCACTCCTTGGGGCTTTCACAGTGCTTTGTGCCAGTGCAGCTGTGGGGATGGTCCCACACTTTTACAAACTTTGCATCCCTTCCCAGTTTGAGGGTCCCACCAACCTTTTGATGAGACTTGTCCAAWGCCAGGGTCTGCCCCCCAGTGCCTGGACTTTGTATCCCACCCCGAGCCCATCCAGCCTGCAAACATGGCTGGGCATGTCCCAAAAAGCCATTTATTTGCATTTGTTTTGGGGAAAGAAAAAAAATGATTTCTTTGCTGCTGATGATTTGTGGGGAAGGTGGGGATATTTTGGGTCCTCATCAGCAYCTCCTTGCCCCCACAGAACTGCAACGAGCGCTTCCAGTACAAGTACCAGCTGCGTTCACACATGAGCATCCACATTGGCCACAAGCAGTTCATGTGCCAGTGGTGTGGCAAGGACTTCAACATGAARCAGTACTTTGACGAGCACATGAAGACGCACACRGGTGAGACGCCCCTCACCTGGCCCCAAATCCCCCCAGCCAGCCTCTCCCARGGAAAGAGCAGTGGGATGGGGGTAACATCTTGGGGTGGGTGGCAGGATGGGGTTTTGGGGTGGCACAGTGTAAAGCCCCAGTTGATTTGCTGAATGAAACTTTTGAAAAAGTTTATGATGGCTCATGATCTCTGAGTTGGATAMATGGGAGAAATACCAACATGATCTTCTCAAGAGGTGAAAACAACACAAAGATTTGCTGACAGACTTCAGAAAAATCAGGGAACTTTGGCAAAAGGTTTAGYACAAYGTTCAATCGACATAAAACACTTGCCATAGTATTAACTTGGCCCATTTGATTCAGCAAACGTTAAACCTGTTCAATGTTAAGTTACTCAAAATATGCCAAGGAGAGGAAATTAGAAGAAGAAAATGACAGGAAAGATACAGAAGAGCACACACAACAGCTGCCAACTCCTGGGTTCTGGCGGTGTTCAGATAGAACTTCCAAAACAAAATGGGGTCWAGATGAATGTCATGGCCTAGTGTTCAGCCTTAAACACCCCTTGGCCCTCATGGGCTTTCTCCCAGTGGGGGCTTGTGGTCATTTGGCCACTCAGGAGCTGGGTTATGGCCGAGTGGAGCAGTGGTTGGCAGAAACTGCGGGGCTGGGATACAGGCTATAGGGCCAAGCTGTGGGGCCATTCACTGCCTCACCAGGGCAAGGCCYAAYCCGCCYTTMCCCMACACACAGGAGCTCCCAAAAYRTCTCAMWMTATCRCACCTCCCCAGTCTGTGACACACGGGCTAACCAGCAGCTTCTCCCCCCTTGTCCCGCCCTCCCTCAGGCGAGAAGCCCTACATCTGTGAGATCTGTGGCAAGAGCTTCACCAGCCGCCCCAACATGAAGCGGCACCGCCGGACCCACACCGGGGAGAAGCCCTACCCCTGCGACGTCTGCGGCCAGCGCTTCCGCTTCTCCAACATGCTCAAAGCCCACAAGGAGAAATGTTTCCGCGTCAGCAACCCCCTGGCTTCGGACACGGCCGTCCCCCAGCCCGCCACCAGCCCGGCTCCGCTGCCCCCTGGCCCTGGCGTGTCCCCCCTGCCCCTGCCGCTGCTCCATCCCCTGCCACAGACCCTCCCTCCTCCTCCTCACCTACCACCACCCCCTCCCCTGTTTCCCGCGGGGAGGATAAATTCAAACAACAATTAGGTGCCCCCCACCCCAGCCGCGCGCCTGCACGGACTGCTCTGCCCTTCGGGAACGCCTTGCCCCCGGGGAGCCAAGGCTTCGCTTGCTCTCTACCCCTTTCTTCCTCCTTTTGGGGTTGTTTTGGGTTTTTATTTCTTTTTTCTCACCTGTCATTCTCCGCAGAGAGGGGGAGCAGAAGGAATCCCCCCCAGGAGCGTGGGTGTTGGGGGGAACCGCTGTCCGTCCGTCAGGGTGTAGCTAAAAGGTGTCACTCTCCGTTTCATCTTCCCACATGCTGGCTTCATCCTCCTGCTGGGACACTGGTGGGGCTGGGAGGAGCAGGATATCCGGGCTTGACCTTGCTGGCCGGTGCATTGATATTTCTAAGCCAGATCCTAGTTAGTGGTGCTTGAATCCCTGTACTGTAAAGCTGGTCTTTCAATTCAGGCTCCTCACCCAGGGCGTTGGCAGGTGGGCACCATGGAGGAGCCCAAGGTGCCAGCCCCCATGGGCAGATGTCCCTGTTGGAAAGCCATTAGCACGCTCTCGTTAGCAGCCCTCRGCACGTCTTCCTTCCCCACTACAGGTTTTCCTCCTCCACAGGCAAAAGCACAAACACCCACACTGCCTCTCGGGGCATCTGCAGCTCGCTGTTGTTCAGTTTCGGGGTGTCTTAAGGGARATGGGCTCTGGTGTGCCCTTTCTGCTAATCCCAGCAGGAGCTGGGCTCCTGGGGATGCTCTGGAGTCGAGGAGCTGTTCCTGGGGGAGCTCAGGTAGCTTTGGGACTGGCAGGAGGGTAGCCTGGGACAGAGGAGCAGGACGCTTCTGTTTCTCAGCAGAATCGGCCCAGAATAGTGCCTTAACAATCCGAATAAACCCCTGAGTGATGGGTGAGCCCCAGCCCAGTCCCACYGCAAGGTTCAGAGGCAAAGCCAGACCGTGTTCAGCCTGGTGAAGATGTTCCAGTTTCTGGTTTGTTGCTCTCCCAMGCTTCACCTCTCGTGGTGCTGGCATCTCTTGCCCTGCCCTGGTTTGGGAGGGACCAGGGGGGACCAGTGAGGGCTGTGGTTGTTTTGGTGATGCCCTGTGGCATTTATTAGTGCTTGCTGAAGTTGTTGAAGTTGAGCTTACAGACGATATGGCTGGCTTCATGCTGAGGAGGAGGAGAGCAAAGTTTTCATGTCATCTTTTTGTTGGACACTGAAGTTCCAGTGGGGTCTCTCACTGCTGTGCTCTGCCCCAGAGTGTCATGCTAACCATGGCTGTGGGGTCTCCCTGTCTGGAGGAATGTCCCCTTTGGAGTCAGAGAGCGCCYTGCATGGGCAGAGAGGTGCTGGCAAGCGGTGGAAGTGTTGCAGCATGTTGAGGTCACCTAAGGACACAGGCAGGGCATGGAGGAGGTGGTGCAGCTCTTGGTAGGCAAGAAGAGGTCCCCGAATGGGGCTACAGGAGTCCTTCCTTATTCTCTGGTGACAGCAGAGTGCTGGGGACACGGAGCCATGTCCAGCTCTGGGAAAATCTTGGTGCTTTGTCCCCTGGACCAAATCAGTGAAGCCCTTGGGCRGAGTCTCTGTCCCTGCAGAGATGGGAGGGTGCAGCCCCATGCTCAGGGGCTTTGCTGGCTGGGGACATGCAGGAGCCTGACAGGGACAGGACAGGGAGCGTCTGCTGTTCTCCTGAGTGTGCTTTGAGGTGCTCGGTGTCACCTCCCACTGAGTGGTGCCCCCCATGCCTGGCATCGTGGGAAAGGTGACGGATGTTAACATTTTGGAGCCACAAACTGCTTTTCATCCTCGTGTTGGCTGGGATCCTGGGGATCCCCAGCACCTCTCCCATACCAGTGAGCTCACCCCATCTCCATCTGCTCCGAGCAAAAAGAGGTTGCTATGGTGGCACTGCATCCCCATATTGACCTCCTCAGGTGGGTTCCAAAGGCTTCTCTGCTGTCCTCCCTGGCTCTGGGGCTYGTTGGGATGGTGCAAAGCCTTCTCAAACACACACCCCTGAGGGATGGGGATCCTGGGGCCATTGGCTGTCTGAAGGGACCATGACCCATACTGGAAGATGATTGCTTTAGAGAAGCATTCAGTGATAYCCCAGAGGTGTTGGAGTGGTCCTTGCTGTCTCCTCCTGCTGCCTCCCAGATCACATCCCCTCAGGCTTCCTTGTGCTTCTTTCCCCTCATGCTCAGCCTTGAGGCAGGGTGGGAGTGCTGTGCCCTGAGGAGGGCTCACCTTGCTTTTATGGTCCTCTGTGGTGGAGCCCATCAGCTGACAGACATCCCCCCACACCGTGTGCTCCCTTATTCCACTCACCTGGAGGTGGCTGTCCCTGTTCCTGTCCTGATTCATCCTTTTCCAGCGAGGACCTGCCCCCCTTGGACATCTCTGTGAGATGAGAGCCCTTCCTTGAGGCTGGAAGCCCAGCGGGAAGCCCAGGACTGATCCCAGCCATGCCCAATCCCCTTCGAGAGCCTGCTCGTGGAGCCACATGGAGACGTCGAGATGTGACCATGCACACAGCACTTTGGAGAACCAGATCCCTGCTGCTCCCTGCCCTCTCCAAGGCCTGGGTAGCTCCCAGGAGTCCTCCAAGGCCTCCAAGCCCTTTTGTCTACACCCTGATTCAGCCCCAGTGTGTCTTCATGTCTGGTTTTCGTTCGCGTACTGAGAGCTCGGACGAGTTGCTCCTGCAGTGCCTCGTCCATCCCGGATCCRTCCTGGCCGGTCCTTTTGCACCCCTTGGGGTCAGACAGGGCAGGAGGCAGGAAAGTCGGGTCCGTTGTTTTAAAGCTTTTTATGTTTTATTTCAAAATTTTTTTTTAATTCTTTTTTTTTTTTTAAACTCTTGCACCTTAATCTCTCACATCCCTTCTTTGACAGACCGCGAGGGTGGAGAGGGGCTTGATTTCCATTACGCAGTTCCTGAATACACCGCAACGCAACGTTCAGCCGACAGCTCTTCCCACGCACCCAAACCCCAGACCCATCTGGGCTGGAATTTTTATTTTCCCCCCTCCACCCTTCATTTGAACTCTGGGGAGGGAGGGAGTCACGCGGGGAGGGTCATTTTTGGTTTATATATCCCAGGAGCCTGGTAGCACAGACCAGTTCGCCTCACGTATTCATGAGGCACAGCTGGCCCTTCGGACCACAGCCATAACCCCAGCGCGGTGGGAAGGCGATGGATGGACGGACGGACGGGTGGGAATGGCTGTGACAGTGCAATAGAGACGGGCATCCGCTGCTAGACAACTCCTCTGAGGTGACTCTTGGTTTGCCCGGAATCAGGTGGGAAGGACAGACAGACAGACGCCCTTTTGTTCGCATGGATGGCGAGAGCTTCCCCACACGCAGCCCTGCCTAGAGACACGGAATCACGACGGGAGTTGGGTTGAACTTGCAAAGGAAGAAAACAATAATTTAAAAGAAAAAAAAAAAAGAAAAAGGAAAACATATAGGAGTAAGAACAACCTCTGTAGCATGGAACTTGAAGGAAATGAATGAAACCCCAAGCACTTGCCTCAAAGCTAGTTTCTCATGCCTGGTGTTTGGCTCTGTATTATTTTACGGCATTCAGTATCGGTTGCCCAAACATGCCAAGTTAAGAGTGTACTGGTGGCTCTACAAGTGTGAACAAACTAAACGAAGCACTTTATTCTGTATAGATTAAGGGAAGGCGGGGAGGGGAGGGGAAGCTCGGATGCTTTTCGGAAGCGTCTTAAGTAATGTTCTAGGAAATGTACTATTATTATTATTACTTTTTTTTTTATGACCATGTGTAATCAATATATGTTTATCTTTAACTCCAAGTACAGCAGTTACTCTCTTTGGGATGATGTGAGGAGGGGGAGGCTAAGATGGTTGGATTAGTCCATCCCTGTGGGGCCAACTGAGGCAAGTCGTTGTCTACCGCAGGAACGGGCCAGTCTTGCTTCTTCGACGGTCCCGTTGGCCAATGTCCAGCAGGTCCCAAGAGGTTCATCAAAGCCACCTCCCCGGGCACAGCTCCCAGTCAAACATCCCCATCCCGAGCCATCTTCTGCCTGGGGGTGCTGGGGCTGCTCTCTGGGAGCACAGAGTTTTTACGGTGGGGAGGCTGGTTTGTGTTGTCCCTCGAGGCCAGGTCCTTGGCCGTGCTTTGAAACCTGCTTTTGGCCTCTCACCAAGGCACGTCGGGGCTCGCTGAGCCCTCAAACTGGCGAGAGGTCACAACTGGGCCTTTCCACTGCGTTCTCCCAGTCTGGAAGTGTTATGACTGTTACCAAAGAGGTTGCAAGTGGAAGGACAGAATCAATAAACAATTTGTCTTTTATAAAAGAAAACTTAAAGCTCCACCACTTTCTTTGTTCCCTTAATTTTGCATCACCTTTTTCTTCCTTTCTTTTTTTCCCTTTTCTTTTGAAAGTGTTTTTTCAGGCAATTGTGTGAAGAGTTAGAAATGGGGAGGAGTGGATTCCTGTGGAATGTTGACTGCTGCCACTGCTTCACATGTAAGGGTCTGTGTTGGGTTTGGTGGGAGGTGTGTGTGTGTGTGTGAGACAACTTGACTGTTGTGGGGCCAGCAGAAAAAAAAAGGCTTTTCAGGGAAGGGTGATGAATGGATAGAAGAAGGGATTCAGTGCTTACAGCCCTGGGAGAAGGACTGAGCTCCTGGTCCTGCTGGCTCCATCAGGTTTGTGTGAACTCTTAGTAGGGGCTCTTTGATCTCTATCAGCAGTGGAGAAGCCGAGGAGCACATCCAAAAACACCCAGTGCCTTTATTACTTTAAAATGGAGCAGGGGGAACCCCACCAGCAATATCAGCCTGGATATTGAGAAGAGAAAGGAATAGATGGTTTTCCCTCACCCTTTGGATGTACCCTGTCTTTGGCACTGTCGTTATCTGTAGGGGGACCTGTGGCTCCAGAGCTGTTACATCTCAGCCAGGAGAACACCAGTCAGCAGCAAGGAGTGATGCCTCTCTGAGCATTCCTGGTGGCATTTCTTGGCTGTGATGGCCTGTGGGGTGACACAGCCTCTTGGAGAGGTGGAGGAAYACCACCCTTTCCCTCGGTGATGTCCAGCTTTGCCACCTTCCTCAGACCAACGCGTGCTGAGATTTGGCTCTTGTTGCTCAAGCAGCGGGATATTTCAAGWTCTTCTGGGTCTTTTTATGCAACAGCTGTTTTTCCTTTTATGGTTTTCTGCCCTGTGGTGGCATCTCCACAGCCTTACAATGGATGTGAACCCTGTGGGAGCTCCAAATTCTCAGTGACTGTGTTCCTGATGGAGGTTTGTGAGGTGAGTGACCAAGGATGGGGAGCAGATTTATCTGCCACTTCTCGAGCCTTTATCAGGGACCACATGACAAAATTCATGGAAGGTCAGCAACCTTCTCCTGCTGGCTTCAAAGAGCCCAGAATTCCTCCAGGAGAGGCAAGAGATGTGGCAGGAGGTGAATTGGAATTAAGCCTCTCTTAGGATCAAGAGTCAACAGCTTTCCAGACTGCATGCAGAAGAAGAGCTGAAGAAAARGTCATGGAATCACAGAACCATTAAGGCTGGAAAACACCTCCAAGAYTGARTTCAACCTGTGACCAATCCTTGTGAACCAGACCAGAGTGCTGAATGCCACTTGCACTCATTCTCTGAACACCTCCAGGGATGCTGTTGGTGGAGGCAGGAGGTGGCATCCTGCCACTGCAATAAATTACTTTTAAAAATTGTTATTCTATGCAGGGATTATTTTTTAAATTCTTCTTAATTTTTCTTTTTTTTTTTTCTYTTCTGCCAGATGCTATTTGGAAGATTCATCTTTAATTAGCTTGGGAATTGTGTGCACGAATTTCTGCAGAACTGGGCAGAAGGTGTTTATTTCTTTTCAGTGCATTTTTCACACATTTGATTGTTTCAAACATTTTTGTTCCTTTTTTTTTTCTTTAAGCTACTTTGTGACAGCCAGTCACCTTGGATTTCCTTTTCTTCTGAAAATATTTCATTACTGTTCTGATGTGATTGTCCTCTAAGGAGCTTATCCTGTAACTTTTTTAAATCCTTCAAATGAAACCAGGACAAGACCCTGGTTCCTTTACTCCTGCTGAATTCTCTTTCCTTCCAAGCATGTTTTAGTTCCTCCACGAGTGCATTTTGATCCAGATGAATCAGCCAGGTATAATTTGTGACACCAGAATTTTCATGTCACTTTGAGGCAATTATTTTGCAAGGTTTGTATTTTTTCTTTTTAAAAAATTATTACTGGTTATCAGCCCTGTTGGTGGTACCATGACATCTTAGGATCATGGAATTGTTAAGGGTGGAGAAGACTTTTAGTCATCGAGTCCAGCCACCAACCCAGCACAGTGATTGTGTTCACCACCAAACCATGTCCCCAAGTGCCTCACCCACGTTTTTTTTTTTTTTTAACACTTCCAGGGATGGTGATTCCACCACTTCCCTGGGCTGCCTCTTCTAGAGCTTCACAACCCTTTCTGTGAAAAAATTTGTCCCTAATATCCAGTAACATAACCTGAGGCTGTTTCATCCTGTCACTGTAGGATGCAGCATCCTTCTAGTCCTGGGTAAACTCCTARTTGTTGTGTCCGTGGAGAAGAGCTGGAAGGATACAAATCCTTAAGTTTCAGCTTGCAAAGGGGGAAAAATAATAAGAAATTATGGGGGTCTCCATGGGGCTGGCTGGCTGTGTGTGTCCATCACAACTTGTGCTCAGTCCTTGTCCTTGGCTCCTGTGAAGGATCAGTTTCAGCTCCATTGACATGCAAACACAGGACATTCCTTTTGGAATAGTCACATTTATTTTTAAATAAACCACTGATCAGATTTTTGCTCAAACAGATCTTTTTTCCTGCTGCCAGTACAGTCATGTTTCTATCAAAACTTCATCACTTATAACTTTAAAATAAATATATATTTTTACTCAGTAAGAAGCCCTTTTTGAGCCTAACAGATACGAGATCTCCTCAGCAAAGTAAAATACTCTTAATTAAAAAAAAAGAAAAGGTCTGAACATTAAAAATAAGAGAAACAGCAAAAATATAAAACCTTTCCCTAAAAAACAGCATTTGTCCAACCATAGGTGAGGACATTGTGATCTGTGATTGCCAGAAAGCCGGAGATGAGGCACATGTGGCCTTCCCTGCTCATTTCTCCCCCTTTCCTACCCTACAACTTACACAACTCCCCTCCTGAGACTCAATTCCCAGCCTCTCATCACTCTGAAGTCGGGGTGGAGGCAMAGAACTGAGATTATTTCCTTTTCATGACAACTTCCAAAGCACTTCTGCTGCTCAYACACTCTTTTCTTTCAGCTGTCTCATCCCGAATACCCTCATCACTCAGGAACTCRCCAAATTCCTCCAGGTCTCCCCTGTACCACTTGATTTTGACCCTTCCTTCTCCTCTCCATGCTCACAGACACCTGAGATTGGGAAATACTTTGTAGATCCTGGGAAATGYCAGCTTTGTCCCCACCTTCTGCCTCCACTGTTTGTTGGGGAGCTCCAACAGCATTTGAAAATAAGGGGAAAAACAGAAAAATACTGAAACACGTGTATGATCTATTTGTTGCGTGTCCTGAGACTGGAATAACTAATTTTTCCGTGCTTCTCAGTCTCCCCCAGCTCCTTGCAGGCTCCAGATCCCCTCTCTAATTACCTTGTGAACACCTTCACGTTCCCAGAGCTTTTCCAGATGCTTCCCCCTTTTTCTCGTTTACACRAAAAGGTACCAATCACAGATGCAATGTCTTGCACAGTATCCAGCTGCCACATCCCTGATAAGCATCTCCCCATCTCCCCCCACCCSTCCTTGCCCCAGGCCCCCGTGGGAAGAACACCAATCACATCTTGGTCAGGCGCAGGACGTTGAGGCGCACGGGGAGGAAGGTGGCCCCGGAGGCGTACTGGATCTCCCGGAGGACGCCTTCCCACTTCTTCTGCTCCTCATCGTACCTGGGGAGAGGCAGACAGGCAGTTTTGGTGAGGAAAGATCTCCTCTCTGTCCCTTCAGCTRCTCTCTGTAGCTGTGGGAGCCCTGGGGTGATGTCCCACAGGAGCTGTTTGGCCACAAGGATCTGTGGACGGGGACTTTCAGCCCCGGTGTGCTCTGGTTTGGGGGACAAGGATATCAGCACCTGGTCTGGCAGGGGAGGGGATGTTTTCCTGCTGGGAAATGGTTTGATGGCACCCAGGTGGAATGAACATCGATGGTGAAGGACAGCAGGATCCTGCTGAGGGTGCTAAAGCACCAATGTGAGGGACAGGAGCAGCGAAAGCCGGAGTCGCAGCTGTCACAAAGCGCTTTCTGCATGCTTCTCTTGCATGTAAGACTCTCTGCTTCCCAGCCCAGATTCTGCTTCCCAGACAATTCTATCTGCTTCCCAGCCCAGCCTCTCTGCTTCGAGCCCAATCTCTCTGCTTCCCAGACCAACCCCTGCCTCCCAGCCCGAGCCCTGGCTGTTCCCAGGGAGAGGAAGCATTGCACAGATGCTGCTCCACACCAAAGGGGAGGCTGGAACCAGCTCCAGGCAAAATGTCAAGGCACAACAAAGCCAAAGGAGCAGGTTTTCCCTAGGCTGCTGCTGTTTGAGGCTGGGAGAGATCACTGAAGCACTAATGTGCCCTCCAGCACAGCACAGGGCAGATTTCCCACCCAGAGACCCTGCACTGAGCCTGCAGCCTCGTGCTGGGTGACAGCATCCATCTCACACTGAAGCCATCAAAATAGACAGAAAACATCTATTTCATCACTGACATCCCTCCCATGCTCCTTAGACACCCCAGGGGAAGATCATCACCTCCAAACATCGTTCAGCTCCGTTGGCACCAGCTCTCCTGACTCAGTCTCCACCGTGGCGAACCCCCCGAGCAGGTAGAGCACCCCGGACAGGCTGACCAGGCTGACAGAGCTGCGCTCCTGAGGGAACTCGGTGAAGGTGTCCCACCTGCCATGACAGGAGAGGGGACAAGTTACAGCACTCTGGCCACCCCCACACCAAGGGCAGCCTCAAATCAGGATTTTACAGAGCTCACAAGTGATAGATGAAGTTGTGCAGGTTTAGGTGGGATGGGATCAGACCCTGGCTGTTTTTAGGGACAGCTCTTTCCTTGTGCAGGTTTAGGTGGGATGGGATCATACCCTGGCTGTTTTTWGGGACAGCTGCTTCCATCATCATTGTTCAATTTCATTTTGCATTGAGTACATAGACCAGAATGTCCCAGCACTGGGGCTGCAGCTGCAAGAGCCACCCAAAATCAGAGCGTTGATCATGTTGGGTGAAGCTGCCAGGGAACCCAAGGATGGCACCAGTTGGTAAAACCACTTTGAGAATGAGCCTGAGATGACCCACAGCCCAACCAYGGCGACACTGGTGATGCCCAGCTCTCTGAGGAAMCACRGARYCCTGGAATGKTTTGGGTTGGAAGGGACCTTGAAGGTTATSCACTCCAACTCCCCTKCCATGGGCATTTAAACTGAATGAACCAACATGAGGAGTCAAAAACAACCTCCAGAGTGGCTGGAAGTTTCTGAACCCATCCTGCAGCTACTCCTGGTGTAACTGCTCCTCAGGACSTACTTGTTGGTGGCGATGTCGTAGACCTCCACCGTGCTGGTCAAACCAGAGTCGGTCACTCCGGCTGCCACGTAGATTTTGTCCTTGTGCACGGTGGCGCCGAACAAGGAGCGGGCGGTTTTCATGGGAGCCATCTCCTTCCACTCAAACTTGGCAGGGTTGTAGACACACATCTTCTTCAGGCACTTCCTGGAGAGAAATGAGAGGGGAAAGAAGCCTTGATCGCCTGTCATGGGGTGGCTTTGCGCTGCAGGGGTTTGGGGGTGTCTGCTGGGGAGGACRTGGGGTGCACAGGGAGGATTCTGCTCCTCCACGTTGGCATGAGTGGAGGAACACACCCTTTGCTGTGCCCATCCTAGAGCCACCATGGTGTGTGTAAYCTGTCCTGTCCTATTGTGCCCACCTGGGACTGGAGTCCTGCAAGCTCAGCTTTGTGCTCAAACAGCCTGGACATGGATCCATACAGCCAACAGCCCCTTAGGACACCCACAGCCCTCAGGAGATGTTTCAGGGCTCCTGAACAGCCCTCAGGAGATGTTTCAGGGCTCCTGATGCACAGCGATGATGCAAAACACCCTCAGTGACCTCCCTGTCCCCAGGTGGGCTGTGTGAGGTGTGAATGGGTGCACACATTCACACCTTGCACACCATGAACCTTCCTGAGCTGGACCAGTCTTGGCTGGGCTGTGGAAGGCTTGGATATTTGAAAAAAGTTACAGGAAGAGTGATAAAGCATTGGAATGGGGTGCCCAGGCAGGTGGTGGAGTCACCATCCCTGGGTGTGTTTAAAGAGAGATTGGATGTGGCACACGGTGCCATGGTTTAGTTGAGGTGTCAGGGCATGGGTTGGACTGGAAGATCTTGAAGATCTCTTCCAATCCTGGTGATTCTGTGATTCTGTTTGCCCTGCAGTCACACTTGTGCCCTGCCAGGCAGCCAGAGAGGCTTTTCCTGCTGAGCTCATCTCCTGTGGGAGGGCAATACGGGGTCAGGCTGGATCAGGTTTTCCCTTCCTGTTGCAAACAAACGTCTGGATTTGGCCACTCTGCTCCACAGGACCAAGACAGGAGACCCTAAAAGTGAAGGGGCTTCTTGCTCTTCAGTGCCTCTCCCAGTCTGTGTGGCATTTGATTTTTTTGTGAGCAAGAGGGATCACAGAATGKTTTGAATTGGAAGGATCTTTAAAGATCTTCTCATTCCGACCCCCATKGGCAGGGACACCTYCYACTGSACTGGTTTTCCTTAAAGCCCCATCCAGCCTGCCCCCATGGGTGAGACAGTACATTCTTTTTCCTGCAAGGACACTTTCTTCTCCCTGATGTTCCCCATTGACCTCCTAAGGTTTTGGAAAGGGCTGCAGGTACAAAGGTGAGCCGAGAGGGAAGGATCCACCTCTCACATCCCGTCCAGCCTTCTTTAAACCAAGGGAGTTACCAGCTCTGCACTCCCACTGATTTGAGGGGTTGACTCTTTGATTTTCCCCTGCTTTTTGACTTACTTGTCACTTCCTTTGCCCCCRATGACGTAGACCAGATCCTTGTGTGACACCACTGCGTGGCCATAGACAGCGTAGGGAAGGGAATCGGCCTCACCCCACTTGAAGGACCTGGGTCAGAGAAAGATGTGAAAAAAAAGGATTTGTAGCTTGCTGGGTGACACCTACAGGAGATGGCTCCTGCCAGACTTAGAGCTGAGCACAGTTGGATTCAGTCTCAGAAAAAAATGCCTGCAATGAGACAGGCTTGTCCAGTAAATTTTGTAATCCTAAAAAAGGGTRACAGTAAAATAAGCAGAATATTTATGCTACTAGCCATTATTTTCTTGAAGTCTTCAGGTAGATGTAGAGAGCAATAATGTCCCCTAGAACCTCCTTTGTTCCAGGCCCAGCCCCTTTCCCAGCTCCCTCAGCTGCTCCTGGGGCTCCAGACCCTTCCCCAGCTCTGTCACCTTCCCTGGACATTCTCCAGCCCCTCAGTGTCCTTCTGGTCATGAAGGGCCCAAMACTGGGCACAGGATTTGAGGGGCAGCCCCAGCAGTGCCGAATACAGGGGAAGAAACACTTCCCTGCTGGCCACAGTCCTGCTGGTACACCCAGGATGCCACCTTGGCCTTCTTGGCCACCTGGGCATACGGCTGGCTCGTGTCCAGCCACTGCCAATCAGAATAATGCTGGAATGATGTCAGTCCAGCGAAACCAAAGTGGTGCTGATCACATCTCTACCAGCTGCAAAGWGACATCCAGCCACCCCCTGAGTGCCCAATGGGGACAAGCTCATCCTTTCCCAGAGTCTGCAGGGGCAGGGAAATGCCCTGTTCTGTGGGAATGGAACTGGTTTCAAATCTCTGCCTATAAAACAGACTTGGAAGCACACACATCTAAATATAGACCAAGCAAAGGCCTGTTGATGCCTGCTGCTCTGCCTCTTTGGGGCAGAGAGCAGCAGCCTTTGGAAGTTTCTGTCTCCTGAGAGAAGAACAGGATGGTGCTTTTTAATAAMGCTCATGGCCTAGCATGGGTCAGAGCCCATTGTCCAAAAATAATTGGACAGTAAGCCGGATATCAAAAAGGATGAGCCATTCTGTGCTACATCCGAATATTTTAAAAACAATTTTTTCTGTTCAAACCTCTTTYGGTGAGACCACAGTGAACGTCACTAACCCTGCAATCCATGGGCAAGAGAAGAAGGTTTAGCAGAAGGAAAAGCTCCTCTGTACATGTCTCACATAAACATCYACTAACACCAGTCTCAGATAACAAAATATCCCCACAAGGGCTCCCATCTCCAGGAGRTTCAGCTGCAATAAATGGAGCAGCTGGAGTGAGGCAGCTCAGAGCCCCAGGGCAGTCCCAGCAGTGCCAGCATCCAGRCACAGAGTTCAAACCCTTCTGCAAACCCCTCTGACCCCTGGAGCCCTGCAGTCCCTCTGCAAGGCAGCTGCTCCCCTTCTCCTGTGCCCCCTCCAGCCCCGCACTCACAGCCGGTCGTAGCACAGCACCGAGTCCAAGGTCTTCTCCCCCTCCTTCAGTTCCTTCCCTCCGACCACAAAAATGGAGTTTTCAGCCTCTCCCAGGCCGAAGAGGCAGCGAGGGGAGGGCAGGGGGGGCATCCCCAGCCAGTCTGCATCCAGATGGTCGTACTGGAAGGGAACACATGGTCATTAGTGAATGTTCACCCCCCACAATGGGTTATATCAGGGTCCAGAGGATGAGGGTGAAGCCTGGTCAGCCCAGCAGCGCTGTGTGCAATGCTCCTGTGGCTGTGTCCTTGTCACCTGGAGTGGGATGGGACATCTGAGAGCAAACCCAGTTATGATAAACCTTTAATGACAAGGCAAAAGAGCAGAGACAGGACTGCAGCAGTGTGTTCTGCTCTGTTCATCAAAGCCTGGAGTTCACAGAATCACATTAAGGCTGGAAAAAAACCTGTGGGGTCCTTGGGTCCAGCTTTGACCAGTCACCTCCTTGCCAACTCCATGGCACTGAATGCCACCTCTGGTCAYTTCATGAACACCTCCAGGAATGGTGACTCCACCCCTTCCCTGGGCAGCCCATTCCCATGCCTGACCACATTTCCAGKGAAAAAATTCTCCTTAATGTCCAGCCTGAACCTACCTTGGTGCAGCCTGAGGCCTCATCCTCTCATCCTGTTGCYGATGGCCTGGGAGGAGAGGCTGASCCCCACMTGGCTACAACCTCCTTCCTGCCAGGGAGTTGTGGGGAGGAATAAACTCTCCTGAGACTCCTTCTCAGACATGGAAACTGGAACAAGTTTGGTCAGCTTTGAGTGAAAGGCTTCCATGCTGGAAATAAAATGGATCATTCCTGGGACTGGAGGAGTGGGAAGCATTTCAATCTTGGAAGTTTTCCTGAACCTTTTCATACAYTGAGCACCTCACAGTGTTTCATCCTGGTTTTTCCATCTCTGCCAGGTAACAGGGTGGTGCTAGAAGTGCTGGCTGCACAGATAAATGTGCCAGAGCCAGCTGATGGAGGAGGAAGCTGATCCAAACATTGCTGTTGGACCAGATCACCAAACCCTGGACATCGGTAGATCAAGGCATGGATTCATCTCCCACCAGAAAAAAAACCAAAACCAATAAATAAATGAATAATTCTGAGAGTGGGGGCTCGAGCATTGCAGCTTAATGGGAACTGGGGTAAAAAAAATAAAGTGTTTTGATAGCAGAGGAGGGAGGGAGGTCTTGCAGCCAATCCTGTGGGACTCTGCAGGACGAAGCTGTGACGCAGCATTGCCTGGAACAGTGTCTGCCGTGGGCTCAGGCCAAGGAGCTTCAGCCCCCTGGGCTGGCTCCAGAGCCTCGGCCTCAGCTGGGTGTCTGTGGTTTTGTCTCTTTGTAAGCTGTGGTCCACACATGTGTTATTTATAGTGCAACCCTGAGCAGCTCAGTCATCRGGATGGTTCCTGCTTCTTGATGGATTCAGCATTGTTTTCGAGCCATAAATCTCACAAGTGACAGAGGAGGATACCCTTCTCCATCCGAAATGTCACTGGAATCATTTTGCTCCTGGCAAAATCTGCAAGGCCCCTGGGATTTATCAGCATTTTTATATTTTGGGGCCTCTCTTTTAATCTAAATTATCCCTGAYCTAATGCTCCTGGCTTCAGCAGGGGGAATGTGAAATTGGGGAAGATAGAAACAGTCAGAGGGTGTAGGGAGCTGTGGCACAGTGGTTCAAGAGCTYGTCATAGACCTGAATGTCTAACTATGTCATTTCAGCTGAAAAATCCTCTCTTACTTCTACAGGAACCGTGAGCTACATAATGACACTGATATAATAAATTACACCTTTGCAAAGTGGTGACACTCTCCAGCCCCAGGACTTGTCKGATTCTCCCAAGCACGAGGGACAGGGGGAGGTGTGGACTGTCTGCTGTCCCCTTCTTGTGGSGAAGAGCTAAAAATGGCCCCATGATGCTCAGGGCATTTGCCACTGAGTCAGTGACAAACCGGGAGCTGAACAGAAATCTTGCTGTTTGCAGCTCAGAACCACAGAGCACTTTGGGTTGCAGGACCTCCAAAGAGGTCCTTCAAGTTCAAGGGGACACAGCTTTGGAGATAGAGAAGATTTCTAGGGCTTTGTTAAAATATTAAATGTTGCCAAGGAATGGTCACGGTGTTTTTCCACCCCTGGAAGTGTTCAAGGCCAGGCTGGACGGAGCTCTGAGCAGCCTGGTTGAGTGGAAGGTGTCCCTGCCCATGGCAGGGGTTTGGAACTGGGTGATTTTCAAGGTCCCTCCCAGCTCAGGTCATTCTGTGACTCTGTGGAGGTTCTGTGACCTCTCTGGACCMTGCTCCACCCCTGCTGGAATGTTTGATCTCTAGGCACAGGTTTGGGCTGAATGCATGTGTCAGCTCTGCGCAGGTGAATGATGGAGCTGGCCACACCTCTGTCCAGTGTCAAGGGCTGTGTCTCAAACAGCACATCCCTGGCACTTCCACACCTTCCCACCCCCTCCTCCTTTCTAGGGCTGAGGGTTCTCCCTGCTGGCTTCTCATTCCCTGGACCTCAGCTGGCCTGCTTAACCTCCTGCCCTTTCCAGGTGAGGACAAGCCTGCTCCCTGCATGATGTGCAGCCCCASTGATGAGGGCAATGAGTCCAGGAAAGCATCAGGGCTCTGTGCCTCGGCTTGGCAACCACCCCCATTTCATCCTTTCTGCCTGGAGATGTTATTGTTTTCCCCAGAAGATGTGAGCCTGGGACACATTATTATTTCTTCCCAGAAGACTTGAGCCATGGAGAGGAACAAAACAAGGATTTCTGAGTACGGGAGGAAGAACAGAGGATTTACTGGATTCCTCGGGGTCAGCAGGAAGGGTCGGCGCCTYGCGTTAGCTGTCTACAGGGAAAGAAATCTGGGCTCCGTCCCAGGCTGGGGCTCAGATTGCCTGTGCAGCTCAATCCAGTCACAGCTTGGTCACTGCTGAGTTAGAACAGCCACTTTCCCTGTGGAGTGTCCCCAAAGGCATAACAGGGCGGTTTCCCCCTCACAGGATGGAAATGGCCGAGGCAGAAACTCCGAGCTGAACAATCCCCCATCCAGGGGCAGGAGCAGCACCAGGAATGGGGTGYAGGTTGGGAGGCAGGGACATGCCCTGTGTCCTTGGGGTGTTTGCTCTGTGGCTGCTGCTGCTGCTGCTCCTATTTGGGGTTTTACTGGGGTTCAGAACCAGGGAGCACAGGGGATGCAAAGCAGAACCCAGCTCTGATGCCAAGAACTTCCCAGCTCATGAGCCCTGGGCTGGGCCGAATTCACTGTTCTAAACAATCCTCTGTTCAAGATTTGGGTCAGGAAGGCTCATTSCTATTACCTACTCTTTCACACCTTCTTCCTCAACTCCCATAACCTCCTTTCAGTGGGATCTGCCTTAAAAATATGGGGAGAAGAATCTCTGGTAAAGTAACTCAGATGCTTCTCCTTCATTTACAACTTTCATYGTAATGTTATCATTTTGTGATAACAAATATTGCTGGCACTACATGGAAGCTAAAGCCTGATGGTGCTCCAAAGTGGCCAAAGAAACACAAAAAAAAAAGATAAAAGTGGTACCTGAAGGAAGTAGGAGCTCATGGGATCCTCTTTGTTGTCCTCGTTGTAGTACAGTCCCCCAACAATGAAGATCTGATTCTCTTTGGTCACCAGACTGATRTGGTTCTTTGGGATTTGAGTGGACAGCGAGGCAAAATAGCACTCGTTGGCATTGGGGTCATAGGCCACTGCCCCACTGTCGCTCACCATGAAAATAAGGTCCTGGAGGAACATCCCAAAGCGCATCGTGTCATTCAAGATCCCGGGGAGAGCTTCCTCCTCGGTATCTTCCCCTTCATCCACCGCTCCATTGACAACATTCTCCTTAGTTTGATTCTCACTGTTCTTCTTYACCTTCTTCTTCTTCACCACAGTGAATTTACCTTTCTGGGCGTCCTTCACCATCTGCAGTTTCTTGAGCAGCTCCGGGCTGGACTTGACCACGGCWTGCTTCTCCACGTGGTCCCTGATGTAGTCGCTGGGCATGAGGCGGAAGCGGATGCTTTCGAAGATGACAGGCAAGGCCTTCTGCCGGCTCTCACGGTCCTTGGTCCCCACCCACTTCATCACCACCTCGAAGACGCTCTCCTCCTTCTCAATGTTGAGCGAGTCGCTGGAGATGATGGCGATCAGCTCATCGGGGGACAGCTGGTAGAACTCCTCGTCRCGGGAGACCAGCGCGAAGCGGTCACAGATGAAATCGCGGGCGGCCACGGCCAGCCGGGCGCAGTCCAGCATCAGCCCCAGCCGGAAGATGGCCAGGCAGTTGCTGAGGCAGAGGCGYTTCTGCAGGAAGGACACGCACACGGTGAAGATGGAGGGGATCTGGAACATGTTGGCCACGGAGAAGATGTCCTGCACGTTCTGCTCGGTGATCTCCAGCTCCGAGGTGTAGATGTAATGGAGGATCTTGCCCATGACATCCGGATCGACGTCCTCCAAGCTGATCTCCCTCTTCTTGCTCTCTTCCATGTCTGAGAGGAACATGGCCCGGAAATACGGGCTGCAGGCTGCCAGYACCAGCCGATGGCAGGGAAACTCCTTCCCTTTGACTTTCAAGACACAGTCCAGAAACTTATTGTGGTCCAACATGTCTTTGAGCCCATCCTGRAGAAGCGTTTGCTGGTAGAGACGCAATTCCTCCACTTGATCAAGAGGCAGGCCCATGGTGACGAGTAGGCGCTCGTTCTTTCTGCCAATCTTTGTTTTATGGATAAATATTGGGGGCTCTGTCTGTACCTGAGTAAAGGAACTCGCTCAAAGCAGGGCTCGCAGCCTCGCYGGGTTCCAGAGCGCCGGCACACCGGGAATGTGAAACGCTCGCTGCGCTCCCAGCTGTCCGTGTACTTCAGCTCCCAGCTCGGGGCTTTATATATAGCCAGAGCGCTGCAGGGCTTACGGAACCCATACTGCAGCATGTGTAAGCCGATCACCCTTTAATATGACACATTGGGCAGGGAGGGAGGGAGGGAGGGAGGGGGCCGAGGAACAGCTGTAATTCCAGCCTCAGTAATTCAGGAAGGGTCTGTCAGCCCGTGAGTCACTGCGGGGGGAGTGGGAGTGTCACCGCTGTGACACTGCGGGGGACGCGTGCGACCCGCGGGCTTGGGAAGCAGCCTCCGGGTGAATCAAAGASCCCAATCTGCCTTTTGGGTCATGGGGGCAAGGCTGGGACTTCTTCCTGACCACACTGAAAGGGCTGTTCTGAAAGCACTGAACCTTCAGCTCTGCTAAAAATAGACGGTGAARTCAAAGCTGGAAAGATGTGCTAAGGGAGGGTCTTATGTGGGCTTTGTGGCATCCCCAGCTCCAGCCAGCTCCTGCCCAGGGCTGCTTTGCTGYGCAGGTTTGTCCTTTATTCTCCTCTAGAGTCACTCTTCAGGCGTCTGGAAGGGTGTGGGGAATGGAGCTGGAGCTGTTTGTTTACAGCCCTGTATGGGATATGGGACCCGTGCTGGGAGTTACTTTAAAATTCCCACTAAAGCAGGAGGCCTGAGGATTGTGGGAGAGGGATGGTTCTCTTCCCCTGCAGTAGGTGGTGGAGTCACCATGCCTGGGGATGGTTAAGGAAAGGCTGGACGTGGAACTCAGAGTTCAATGGTGTTCAACCATAGGCTGGAGTCGATGGTCCCAGAGCTCTTTTCCAKCCTCACTGATCCTGTGATTCTGTCACACCTGCAAATGGGCTTCAATGGCACCTTCGCATCGATAAATCCGTCTTTTCCACGCCTTGGTGACAGAAAGAGAGTCTGAGACTGAATAGAAGTACAGGAAATGCAGTGGTGGGTTTCAGCTCACAGATTAAAACATCCAAACACAAGCAGCTCCTGGTTAACTGAGGGTTTCCTGCTCTTCTGGTTCATCACCCCCTCGATGGAGTCTGGAGACAACCTGCCTGGCCCTGAGCTGATGGTCCAGCTTGGCCAAGTTCTCCAGCAGGTCCTGTGTCCTGGATGCCCAGGGATGTCCAGGAAGTCCCATGGGCCCTCAGATGGCCGGTCCAAGTCCGGCTGTTCCCACAGAGCTCACAAAGAAGAAAATTTGATTTGACAGACATGGGTGAGCAGAGTGGCTATAATTATTTATACCTACAGTAAAACTTGTGCATGAATGTGTTTTATCTCCTACTGCAGACCCTCTGGGCTGTCTGACAGTCCATGATGGCAAAGATTTAATTAACGATTTAATTAAGTYTATGCAAAGATATTAGCCACTATTCTTGGCATATTTAAAGCCACATAACCCCTTACCCTGGCATRGTGTATTTATAAAAATTGCYRTGATGGCTGTCTCCAGGAGTGGGARGRGGGAGGGAGCTGTGCTGGTASGAAGCCTTTCTGCACTTGTGTGGTTCCAGCAGCATCTGGGGAGCACCAGAAAAACAGGGAAATAATCACAAGCTGTTTCCAGAGCTCTCATCGTAAGCTCCTCTGTGCTGCTCATCTGTCAYGGGATCAAGCTCCCAGCGCTGATCTTTGAGCTGGGTCACACTTCCGAAATCTTTGCTCCCTGACATCTGGGGCTGGGCACCCCATCCTCCCCTCCCTGCTGCCTCTGCATGAGCTCTGTGCCCTCCTGAGTTTAATCCCGTGCTGTTGTGCCAGCATTGGGATCTCCCCCCACCCTCTGCCTTTAATCTCCCYTGAGCCCTGCGTTGTTTTCCTTTCCCTTGTGCTGCCATCTGAGTTTTGCTTCTTTATCCCCCACACCACGAGGTGCCACTGCTAAAAYGCAGCTACAGCCCCTCCCTTGGGGGAGCTCTGGGACCTGGGGAGTCCTGGCATCTCCCAGGTTTGTGTTTCACCYGGGAAAAGGGTACTGTGCTGGTCCCAAACCTTTTCTGGGAATTCTACAGTGGCTCTTCCCTGCAGCTGGAGCAGCTCCAAGGCTTAGGGGAGCAGCCCTGGTTTTCTAAGAGCATTGTCCCCTGGGTGCACTGTGTCCCCCAGATCTGACAGGGCCACAGTCACAGATTTCCAATGACCAATGGATCACAAAAGTCATTAAGCGTGTCCTTAAGTGGGCAATAGTCCCCCCAGGACAGAGTTAATTTTGCTCCTCATGGCAGGTACAGTGCTGTTTTTTTTTCTGATTTAGGATGAGTTAAATGTTGGTAACTCACCAATGTTTTGGCTCTCACTGAGTTGTTCTCACCTGAGTCAAGGATTTTCAGTGTCCCASGYTCTGCCAGTGAGGAGCTGCACTGAAAGAATCATCACGGCCGGGAGGGCTGACCCCAACTGGCCAGAGGGATATTCCCTTCCCCAGGACATCATTTCCAGTATATAAACTGTGGAATTTACCCAGAAAGGATCCAATTGCTGTTTGGGGTCAGGCTGGGCATCACTCAGGGGGTGATGAGGAATTGTGTTGCGCATCACTTGTTTCTCTTGGGTTCTGTTATTCTTTCTCCTCTCCTTATCATTATTATCATCATTAAATTTTGCTTCACAWGTTAAACTTTTCTTATCTCAAGACATTTACCTGATTACCTTTCCTTTCTGATTCTCCTCCTTATGGGGGGTGAGGAGGAGCAAGTGAGTGGCCATGTGGCATTAAACCATGACAGTGAGGACAGGTGAATATATCTTAAAGGCATGCAGTGTCACAGGAGCCCTCCCTCCTATACAAAATGTTAGAACAAAAAAGATGAATGYAGGAATTTTAGCCAGGTCAGCCTGAACAAGGAMGTRTCCAGTGCAGAGCTATTAAYTGGGATTTGTAATTGCAATAAATAATTACTTTTCTTGGCTTCTTGAGTTTTATGAATAACCAGATCAGGTGGGATGCTCTTCTCCAGAGAGATGAGCAGGGGATAAATTCCATTTTACAGAGGCATTCAGTGATGCTGAGTGTGGTCTGAGCAAGGCTGGGCTGGCTGAGATAACACCAGGGTGCTCCTGGCCCACCAGAGCTCCTGGGCTCATCAGAGCAGTGAGAGCTGAAGGGATAACTCCTGGGAAAGGAGGACAAAGCCCGAGTTGTCCCGTAAGTGTCTMGGACAGATCACTCGCTGGGCTGGCGTCTAAGATTAGCTCCTTCTGGCAGCTTCAGCAGCTGCTTGGTAAATATAGCKCCTTAGTGAATGGGCTATTTTCTGCTGGAGCATCCAAGTCAGGAGGGCACTGCAGAGTCACTGGGCTTTGYCATGTGAGTCACCCACTTGGACACRGGCAGGTGACTCTGTTTGTCCTCCCCAGTAGCCATGGACCAGAGCAGAGCCACCACAGCGACACGGCCTTTGTCACTTGGTAGCTCAGGATGGTGTCACCTGGGCAAGGACACCCCTGGGGAGGGGCAGAGATGAATTTAACCCTGCAGGAAGCACATCATGGCAGAGCTGCTTTGATGGAAAATCTGAAATAATGGAGATGCCAAGAAACACCTACCAAGAGTCCAGCAGTGACAGATGTGTCAAAAAGGGATGTACCTGGCAGCTGGAGAGTTTTTGGGGGTGGGAGGAGATGCCACCAAGGCACAATACCTGCCCTTACTCCCAGTGCTGTTGGTCACACTCACAGAAATAAATCCAACCAGGCTGCCAACCCAAACCACACATGGGGGACAGAGTGATGGCTGCAGGCTCAAGACACCGACAAAGGCAGAGTCAAGATAAAGGTGAATATGACCTGAGCTGCAGCCCAACCTTCAATCTGGTGACGCCACCAAAGCAGGCTTCTGCTGAAGTAAAAAATGTCTCATGTCACTGTTTTGGGTGGCAGGTGAGGACCTGCAAACAGATCCTCGTCCTCTCAGCTCCGGGGTGTTGGGGGTGTCACCTGCAGCACAACAGTGATGAGCAGCAGCTGCCAGAGTTATCCAACATTTATTCGCTACATAAATAAGTGACATTGATCGGGGACTTCACAAATCACTTTGGCAGAGCTGAAAGCTGGCTGGGAACCCATCCTGTTTCACCCACAGGGATGCACCAGGCATCTCGACCCAYGTTGGAAAGGGGTCTGGAGCCTGCCCTCGCCAGCACGGACACAACTCGGACATAAGGCCACTGAGGGTTGTCTAAAGTGCAAGAGAGCCAGAGCTATTTTTCACTTACAAACCCACCCTTCCCCCAAGGCACCGTATTTCACACTCTCCCAAAGTCAACATCCCCGAGGAGGAGTCTCCCACAGGCTTTCCCTCCACCACCCAGCCCCAAATCCCTGCCCTTCATTCGGGGTTTTCCTCCTTTGGTTGTGATTATCTGTGTGCCCACCCAGCCCTGCAGCCGTGGGCTGTGCGCACCAAAGGCAGCTGAGRAAAGGGATGGGGGGCTGGAGATGARCAAGGGGTGGCCACAGCACCTTCTGTCCCTCAGCCATGGGCAGGAATGTGAGCCTAGACCTTTGTCCATGGCATATAAAACCAACAGAGGTGGGGTTTGGCTTGAGTCCCAGGACACGTGTAACGGCGGGGTGGTCGTGGTGGCCGTGTCRGTCTCAGACCCTGCAGTGCAGGGCCCTAAAACCTCCAGCCATGGGATTTGGAGTGTCTCCTCTGGGAGATGTGGGCTGTGGGAGAGCCCAGTGCTGGTGCTGGGAAGCAGGGGGTGAAATCTCCGAGCCCGCACGACGTCAGAGGGTCAGGAAGACGATGGGGATGGCTCTGGCACTGGAGAAACGTCCYGGGAGCTGCCTCAGCATCCTGCCACACCCAGGGAGCCTGTGAAACACCCACTGTGCCCGATGGAAAAACCTCCCTGCAGCAAGGGGTGATCTGCGTCTTCCAGGTGCTTCTACGTGGATGAGCTACAGCAGTCCGACAGTCGGGAGGGCCTGGGGAGCCCTGGCCAGTGGCTGGAAGGGTCAGCAGGCTTTGGGACCGGCCTGCTGGCGCCTCCCCTACTCCACCTTGGCCTTGTGCTCCTCCTGGATGGCCAGGACACGCTCACGCTCCTTGATCAGCTGCACCCCGCAGTACGTGATGAACCAGATGGACAGGGTGCTCACAGGGAAACCTGCACAGGGAGGGACACAGRGTCACCCAGGGCTGGCTGCTGGTCTGACAGGGCCAGCTCTCCACCAGCACAGCTGTCTCTCGGCTGGATTTGGGGCATCCCACCCACTCATGGTGGCCAGTGATGTTTTTTTATCCCAGACCCAGCACTGAAGCCTCACTGAGAGAAAAGGGAAACCCTTGGGACTGGATTTTAGACAAAACTGTGCATGAGCCCTCCAAGGCACCCTGGACTGCAGCTGAAGTGGGGACATGGTGGAGGAGCCCCTCTTAGCCCCAAAACTCCTTCTGCTCCCCCAGTTCAGACACCGTGGGTGACTCTCTGCCCTTTGAATCTGCCTATATCTATTGTCACTCAAGGTCACCATTCTGTGACCTTCAGGAAGCTTTGAGTCCCACTGATGCTGAGGATTCAMCCCCAGCCTCGTCCTGTGCTTGGTGGGGACACAGTATCCCCCCAGGAAAATGTGTATTTTTGTCACCTGTGTCAGTGACAGAGCCTGGAGCTCTCCCTCCATTTAAAAGGGTCTGATGGCATTTGTGAYCACAAACCTGGTATCCACAGCACAGGGGAGGCTCAGGGTTTGTTCCTGCTAAAACAGGACCTCTGCAATGAATAATGGGACCAGCAAAAGCCAGCGAGCTCAGCGGGCAGGCACTCCTGGCACACGGAGCCCAGAGCGTGACTTCACCGTCCCCTCCCAGCCCCAGCCTGCAGGGGCCACAGGACAGCAGCTCCAGAAGGTTATTTATACCCTGGGCAGCCCAGGGAACCTTCAAAATAGTGCACCATCCACTGATTAGAAATGTGCAGGCTGCAGGATGGGAATTTGTACCTGTCAGGATGAGGCAGGAATGTCTGCCGAGGCAAAGGGAAYGAGGCAGGAGGAGTGAATCCCTTTCTCCAGCAAGGGGACATTCCACAGGCAGGAACTCAGCCCCACTGGGTGAGGTGAATGTGACCTCCAGGGAGCCTAAATCAGTGCCAGGCTGTGCCAGGAGCAGTAGGGCACACCTGGAAGGCAGCGGGCACCCCAGGGCAGTCATTGGGGAGGGCTAAGAAACCACTGCCTGCACATTTCGCAAAGGAATTAAGGACATTTGGAGCAGCCACAAAACAAGCCAGTGGCCAGGACTCTTTGAACCCAAAAGGACTCAAGAATCCCAGTCCTCARCTCCTGCACCAGTGTCCCCCCATCATGAAATGAAGGGGTCTCTCAGTGGGGGAGGCTGGCAGCCCCTTACCCATCACGAGGAGTCTCTTGGTCACCAGCAGTGCAAAGTCCACGCTGTTGAGTGCTGGGATGTTGTAGAGGACAATGGCCCAGAAGTTCACGGCCCCAAAAGCTGCCCTGATCCGCCTGGACATGGCCCCTGACAGTTTGGCCTGTGGAGGGGAGAGGAGCAGAGGGAAAGCGGGTCTGTAAGGAAAGGGGGTGGGATCCCAGAGAGAGACAAAAATCAGAGCAGCCTTTGGTGCCTCTGGAATGAAGAAACATCAGGACAAGGCAAAACTTGTGCTGTGGGGCATGAGGGACTCTGAACTGGGACCCATGGGTAGGGACAAGAGGATTGACARAGTTTCAGGGTCATTGTAGAATCACAGACTCACAGAACGGTTTGGGTTGGAAGGGACATTAGAGCTCATCCAATTCCAACCCCCTGCCATGGGCAGGGACATTTTCCACCATCCCAGGGTGCTCCAAGCCCCATCCAGCCTGGCCTTGGACACTGCCAGGGATCCAGGGGCAGGCACAGCTTCTCTAAGTACCCTATGCCAGGGCCTCCCCACCCTCACAGTGAGGAATTCCTTCCCAATATCCCATCTATCCCTGCCCTCTGTCAGTTTAAATCTATTCCTCCTTGTCCTGTCTCTCCACAWCCTCGTCACAATCTCTCCAGCTCTCTCAGAGCCCCTTTACAATGAAATGGCTGAGCCCTGCTCTCTCCACCTCTTGCCTTGGGTAAGCCTCTCCTCAAGGCAGAAGGATCTGTTGTATCCCAGGATTATTATTAGCCCTACATGCAAATCACTCCTGGGTCCTGGTAAAAATAGTTTCTTAGGAATTAAGAAAAGAAAAAGGCTCAGAACTAATGACAGCAGCAGAGTGGAATTGTCACTGGCACATAATCTCCAGGATCAGCTGCTGGGAGTGGAGCAAGGAAGGAGTTTACAGCAGCCTGCAAAGAGCACGGTGAACCCCTAGGCCACTCAGAGCTGGGAATTGTGGTTTTACAGGGAAGGAGATTTCACTGCCTGTGAGAGCCATGATCTGATTAAGAATTCAGCAAGGAGGATTGCTCTCCACAGCTTTTATACAAGATAGATCTTTACTTATCCAATTTAGGACCTCCAGACTTTAGAYTGGTTAAAAGAAATAAGGAACATCATTGTTTCCAGGATGGAAGTTTTAAAGTGTTTGTCCCAGTATGCCCCTGAGACACTTTGGTCCCAAACAGAGTCAGGGCACTAAGCTTTGGAGTGTTTTAAAAATTATTTGTTTTAGCATCTAAACCCTTGCTTTTATCAGAAATCAGATCAAAACCACTGAGAATGCCAAGATGCTTTGTAGAACAAGAAGAACAAATTATTCCCATACAGAAATATATCAACATTTCCCCATAGGATCACAGAATATGGATATTCCCCTTAGAATATACCCCATATGCTTAAACACATCCCCAAGGACAGACCTCRTATTTTGTGTCCATCTGTGGTGCTTTGATGCCTCACTGGAGCTGCATTCCTGTTTCTCTTGGACCTCTGAAAGTTCCACCCCAACCTAAATTTCCTGTGAAGCGCCCCAGGGGCAGGAAGGAGTTTGCCCCRGGTGGGTGGCAAAGTCCATGAAATGAAGGGGTACAGAGCAGCAGGACCGTGCTCCCCTTGCACAGCTCAGTAGCTGATCCCAAGGATTGTTCAGGGATGTCACCATCCCTGGAATTGTTCAAAAAATGTGTGGATAGGGCACTAAAAGATGTGGTTTAGTGCTGAGCGTGGTGGTGCTGCTGGGTTGACAGCTGGACTTGATGGTTTTAGAGATCTTTCCCATCCTCAACGATTCCATAATTTTGGGGGCCACAGGAAAAGGATCCAGGGCTCCACATTTCATGGCACCCTCAGGGATTCTGCTCTTCAGCCTCAGCTGAACACCTGGCTCCTACAAACCAGCGTCAGCTCCCTCCATGGGACATTTCCCAGCACCAGAGCTTGTCCCCAGCCCCCTGCCCCCTCCCCAGCCCYGTGGCAGCCCAGCTCCTCACCTCCAGTTTGGCAAAGGGCCCCAGCTGGAAGAACTTCTGCACCCACAGCTCGAAGTTGAGGCCRAAGCAGTTGACGAAGGACCAGATGTAAACGACCTCGCAGGGCCCCAGCCACAGCGTGGTGACAGCAAAGGTGGTGACACTGGCCACCAGCTCCTTCAGGATGTTGTCGTGGTTCTCTCCAAGGTGGTCATACACGTACCTAAAGGCCAGGGAAGGTGGTTGGTGTTCCCTGTGGTCCGGGAGACCTCTCTGAATCCTCTTTTCCCAAGCTCTTCACACAGGCAGGTCAGCCCAGGACACCCCAGTTAACAGGAAGGATGCTCTGGCTGACAATTCTGGCAATAAACTCATTTTTGCTGGGCCCCAATTGTTTGTGACTTGTGTTTCTGCAAACCTATAAACCCTTAAGGACAAATATTCACCTTTTTCCCCTCTGGCAGGTAAAACTTGGGGTCTCTAGAGCTGCAGGTGCTCTCAGTCTTGCTGATGCTCAGGATTTCAAACCCTCAGGACAAGTTGGCTGGTGTGAGCTCATGGCTGAAGAGAGGGGAAGGGCTGAGGCAAATGCAGATGGAAATACAAGGCTGGGAAAGATCTCTAAGATCATCAATTCCCCCTTTCCTCCTAAAGAGATACCTCCCTCCCTCAAGGGAATATAAAACCACTAGACTTTAAGGGATTTTGGGGCAGGATTCTCTTATTGACAACTTTGGAGGAAGGTGTTGCTCTTTGTAGCAATTAATTCAGCAGATTTTGGGGCTAAACGAAGCACATAGTGGGATTCACCCAAAGAGAGGACACCCCAGCTTTGGGATGGACAGCATCTGCTGCTTCATGGCTCTGTGAGGGAAGAGAACACCCTGAACCAGGAGGTTGATTGGACTCTTACTTGCACAGCCAGTCATTAATCCCTCTGTCAAAATGCCTGAAATAAAAAGATGAGAACATGTTAAAACACACGATGGCAATAAAAATCACATTAGAACAGAAAAAAAACCCCAACCCCCTGGCAAGGCACTTCTTGGACCTGGCTCACAGAAATCCTCCAGGCTTCACTCTTGCCCAGGTGCCATTATAGATCCAGTTTAATATTTCTCCTTATCTACTGCTCCCTGCCTCAAAGAAAGTATTTCCCTGTTCTGTGGTTCCAGGTGGTCTCCAATCCCAGCCCAGCTGTTCAGGACAGCCCAGGTGTCCTCCCCTCYATGCAGGTCCTCAAACCCTCTTGGCTCAGGCTCGAGGGGCACTCACGTTTCGGCRAAGATGTAGAGCATGGTGATGCACTTGGGGGGCTGGGGCGGCTCCAGGTGGTCCAGTCTGGCGATGGTGTTGATGACCCCAAACATGACAGCAGCTTTCACCCAGTCATACACCAAATTGGAGTAGGCCAGGCCAGCTGGAGCAAAAATGGGAGTCAAACAGGGGAAAASGGACAGGGGATGCATCACGGGATCATGGAATCTACTACAACCAGCACAACATCAAGAGGACAGCCTTATGTTGTTTTGGAASAGCATATCTTTTAAAATTAAGTTTTTTAAGAGCCTTGAACCAAAGGACAATCTCTTCTCAGGGTATTTGGGAGAAAAATGTTTATTACTCTCGGTAGCCCAAGAAATTCTGTATATACAATCATTTATTCTGTCATTGTTCCTTCCCTCTGAGGCTCGTTAAGCTGTGATGAACTCATCACAGTTCTCAGCTCTGACCTCCGAGGTTTTCTTGGCACCTCCATCAAAATTCCCCCCACCCCAGCTCCCCCTGGCCATGGATGTGACACCAATGCTACAGCAGAGCCAGGGCCAGAGCCTCTGCCTGGGAGAAATATCTGATACAGGGAGACAAACCCTCAGGCAGCAGCCACTGAGGATTGCAAATGCCTCTGCAAGCAGCTGCTAAAATGTCCCCATCTCGGTGGGATCCAGTCCCAGTTCAGGGCTGGTCCCACCCTGGGCCAGACAGGTGTGGTCAGCACAGGAGAAGAGCTCAGCTCGCTCTGGGGCCATCCAGGTCTCTTGGGACACCCTAAAGCCATGTTAGTGCCACTCCAGCTGCATTGGGATTTTAGCCAGCTGCCACTCTGGACACACATGAGGCTCCTCCAGGCCCTGCTKGTCCTCTGCTGTGGGGTGGTGCCCGAAATGCTGCCATTGGACATGGATTTGACAGCTGGAATCCCCCATGCAGCTGCCAGCCGAAGCCAGCATTGTGCCATCACTTATCCTGGGGTTTTGGTGCCTGGAGGTCCCTAGTCCAGCCCTGCCTGGAGATCAGCCAAATTTAAATGGAGATCATGCTGTTCYGGACATTGTCCTTTTAAGTGTCAAATGTGACCCTTTTGGGATAACCTGAAACCCCTTTAGGCACCTGTTCCAGGGTTTGACCACTCCATGGACACCATTCCTTACACACAACCAGGCTTGGTATTGCTGCATGTGATTGCTTTGTTCTGCAGGCTTTTGGGAGGTGCTAAGCTCCCTTCCAGTCCAAAGGCAAAAAAAAGAATATTTTGGTGCTCAGCTTCTCAACCCCCAAATGAAACGATTTACCCACAAAAATGTCAGACCAGTGCCCTGTGCTTGGCAGGGCTGCCCAGCTCCAGCTCTGTGCATGGCCAACAGGATGAAGAGGGGATTTTACCCAAACCTGTCCAACACAGGCATTCCCAAAGCCTCTCGAGGAGGGTAGACAGAGATCTGGATCACTCACCACTGCCTTGGAGCTGAGCACAGGATGAATGTGCCCAAGCACAGCCACTCACCCAAGGACCAGTCCGAGAGGCGGTTCACGAACTTCAGGTCRGAAGGGAGGGTGAGGATGTAGAAGAAGTGGAAGAAGATGTCCACAGCCACGATGGCCCCCACGTGGAGGAGGGCGTTGACTCGGATGTTCTTCATCTCATCGTCCTTGCGCCGCAGCTCCCGGGTGCTCACCTGTGGGGAGGGACAAACCGGAGCGGGGCTGAGCCCAGGGACAGCGTGGGCAGAGTTCCTTTGGCCACGACGATGGCCAGGTCCACATGGGGGTTGATTCATCATTCCCCTTTAGAAACCACACCACGGACTATGTGGCCCAAATTTCCATGGATTAGGGAGCACCCAAGGACAGGCTCAGGTGGGCACATCCACCAGGAGAGGGACATGTCCCACCCTCCCACACCTGCAGTGCTGAGGACAGCAGGGATGTCCCTCCTGCATCATCCTGCTGTTCCCAGGGGCTCCCAGCAGAGCAGGCACGTGGGCAGACAAGGTTCCAGAAAATCCACTCTGACCAGGGAGCTCCCAGGGTTTTGTGCTCTTTGTGCAGCGACGTGTTCAGAAAATCAGCTTTGCTTCAGGCCAGCCCCTTGTACAGGTCATGAAGAGGGAGCAAATGTTGGCACCCATCACATCTCCAGGATGGATTCCAGGGTTGGAATCTCAGCCTGACAGCTCTGCCAGGGCCTGAGGAATTTTTGGCCAGGGTGATCTGGGAGGAGGGGGAGAACTGACGATCTCTGAGGCTCCTGCTGCAGACTCTGGCTGTGAACAAGAGGGAGACTCGCTCGAGGAGCTGTCCCGAATCAGTGGGACCTGATGGATGGGGATTTCATCTCCAGCACAAACCAGAGCCAGGGTTTGCCTGCAGGAGCTGTCACAGCTCTGGTCTCTGTCATACAAACATCACCAGAGCGAGCTCTCAGGATTACACAGGGCAGAGCCATGTCCTCGCTTCCCCGCATCACCGTAAAATTGCTGCTGGATTCAAAATCCTCTTATGTTTATTACTCCCCCTTTATTCCCTGCGAGAGGTGGGAGCTCTCCCTGCCTAATCCACAGGCTGCTGCACCAGCCCTGTTGTCAAATCCAGATGATTCCTGGGAATTAAAGCCTTTGCCAGATTTTTTTTTGYGTCTCTTAAGTGCCAGGTGCTTTAAGGATACAAAGAGGTCGCTGGACCCTGAGCTGGAGGGGCAGGGGAGGGAGGACAGGGTCAGGCCTGGAGCTGTGTGGAGGACACAGAACCCTCCTTCCATGGAATCATGGAATGGTTCAGGTTGGAAAARTCCATTAAGATRATTGAGTCMGACCATTMACCCASCACTGCCAAGCCCCTCACTAAACCCTGCCCCCAAGTTCCACAACTGCACACCTTTTAAAAGCCACCAGGGATGGWGACCCCACCACTGSCCTGGGCAGCCTGGTCCAGTGCTTGACAACCATTTCCTTGAAGAAATTATTCCTAATATCTAATCTAAACCTCCCCTGGTGCACYTTGAGGYTGTTTCCTCTCATCCTCGTGTCTGGTGCAGGGGCAACACTTGGCCACCAATCTCTTGGGATCAGGGCTATGTCCCCCACACTCCCAACCCCACAGAAGGGAAYTTGTTCCTTTGATCCCAGTAGGAAGGGTGCTTCTCCACCCAAATTTRGCTGGCCAAGCCCTGGCACAGATGAATTCCCATCTCACATGGGGGTGCAAGAGCTCCATCAAGGAGCTCATCCAAGGCTGTAGGACCAGCAGGATCCAAAGGGATCTTTGCCATACATCCCACCCTGGGGAAGGGTTCCATCTGCCTCCTGCCCTAATTGCTGTTGGGCAATTAAGAATTGGCCTCGGCCGCCGCAGCTCCAGCAGTGCAGGGGGGATGTAGCCAGGAGATGGCAGTGGTGGCCAGGCCAAGCCAGGACCCCTGGCCGGGGCAGGGGAAAGGATTCAATCCCTGTTCCTTTGGGGTGGCCATTCTAAGCAGCAGAGAGGGGGATTGCTCATTAAAGGGCTTCAGACATCCTGGTTTGGGGCTGTGCAAAGGAGCAGGAAATAAAATTGCCCCTGGATCCAGCTCTGTAGGAGCAGTGGGAGTTTAGGTATTGGAGACACAAGGGGTTTAATGTTTCCATTTAAAGGTTCCTGGCTGCATCCTTGAAGGGGACACCAGAGCTGACCTTATGATCTTCAGACTCAAATGCTCTAAAAATCCTTTTCAATATATCCTGTAGGACCTGAGGGCTCCCATTCCTTTCAAGAGGCACCATGAGGTTGTTAATTCCACGGGTGAATAAACCAACAAGGGGCAGGGCTGGGATCGGGGCTCATCCTGCTCTCTGGAACAAACATCTCAGACCCTTTCTCACACAACCAGAACCAGTCTCATGCTGGGGAGAAGGTGCTGAGCTGGTGGGTCTTGGGTCTCCTCCTCACCATGAGGCTCTGGCTGCTCTCCCCTGCCCTGGGCTGGTTTTTCTTCCGAATTCACAAATGTTTTTCCAAAACGTTCTTGTACCCAGGCATSAGTTTGGGGCCAGAGACTCAATGCAGCTGTTCTTCCTCAGAAGGCCCCAGAGGGTTGGGAAKCCTCCACAAAWWTTTWTTWWTTTWTTTTTTTCTGTGAAAACTGTTGTATTGAAAATTTTCAGCTCCTTTCAATAGCACWTCAGCCTCTTTGCTCCAACACAGGGATGCACAGCCATCCTCCACACCATCACTGCTGCCAAACGAGAGGTGCCTCCCTTCACCAGCATCACCAGTTTGCTTTGGTGCCAAGGCTGATCTTTGGGGTAGGAGGACTGTGAGATGGGGGGAGTGAGGGGGACACAGCACTGCTGCTTTCCTTGATCCTGGACCATGGGACAGCTCCAAAGGTTGGCTGGTCCCAGCCCAGGCTTCTGCTGGTGTTTCCCAGTTCTGTTTTGAGTCTGCTCATCCTGAAGATCCCTTGGTTGTGTGGAACTGGCAAAGATTTGGGGCATCAGGGCATTTCATGGGGTCCCTGAAACTCAGCCTTTCACCCAATCWCATTTAGTTCCTGAGAAATTACTGGAAGATGCTCCAGCCATCCCTGGAAGGTCCTGCTCCCTCGGTAAAGTAGCTGGGTAGAATTGGGARGCTGYTCTTGCTGTCACTCCCASATGTCTGGGGAGGTGACAACATGAAGGTGCTGGGGTGACAACACARGGAAACTGAGGCACTGASCAGTGCAGATGCCCAGTGAGCAAGGACACCACAGCAAGATCTTCCATTGTGAATTGGTCAATTAAAATGGCAAAAAAAAACCCAAAAGAAAGGTTAAAAATCCAAAAGTTTATGCCCTTCCCCACAAAAACGCAACRGCCACAGACTAGAGGTGACCACAAGAAGTTTTACAAGCTTCACTGTGGCAAAAGATGGATTTTTTGTAGATATTCGACCAAAACAAATAAATTTAGTGAGAAGTCCATCTCCAACCCAGCCTCAGGGTCACTCACCTGGGCATGGAACTGGTCAAAGGTCATSACAGGCCCGAAGAAGAAGAATGGGAGGTAGAAGTTGTACTTGAGGAGGTCGAAGATGGAGTAGATGCCCTCTTCCCTGTCGGAGCTCTCGAGGGCGAAGCTCATGCAGCGCATGATGGTGAAGGTGCTCCCTCCRTAGAAAAGAACATCTTGGAGATCAAAGGCCCCCGTTACAAACCCGCTCTGGACAAGAAACAGGGAGTTACTGCCAGGAACRTGGTGTCACTTCTGTGCTTTGTGGGGGCATCACTCCTGGGGCAGCAGAGAATGGTTTGGGYTGGGAGGGAACTTTAAAACCATCCATTTCCACCCCTGGCATGGCAGGGACACTTTCCACTGTCCCAGGCTGCTCTGAGCCCTGTCCAACCAGGGGCAGCCACAGCTTCCCTGGGCACCCTGTGCCAGTGCTGCATCACCCTCACAGTGAGGAATTCCTTCCCAATATCTCATCTGACCTGACCTCTGTCAGTTTGGTTTTCAGTTCAAGAGAAACCTCTAATTATGCTCTGACACCAATTGTCTCTGAGGTTAATGAGCTGRGAAGAAAAAACTGGGGCTCAATTTCCCAGCTGGCTGCTGCAGCCCAGAGCAGTCAGGAAGTGGTGGATCCTCTTGGCCATGTTGTCACCAAGCAGCTGTTCGTCACACAGGGTTTGGTCTGGGGTGGCAATGTCACCCTGTTGGACACCGTGCTGCCCAGGAGCAAAGCAGAGCTAGCACGGGGTTGATGGAGATGGAGGGGACACATCTTTGGGGGCAAGGAGGGGCAGCACTGTCCTGCTGAGRGACTGAATACCTTGGTAAGGTATTCCTGGGCTTCTCCCCATCCACCAGTGAGAGAAAAATCTTAACTGGGCTGTGACCCGAGAGATGAGAATCGCTAAATCCACCCCAGCTCTGTTACAGGTGGGGAAATTGAGGCATAGGGCAGGAGCATGCCTGGGCAGCAAGGACTCAGATGTCCTTTGCTCTGGAACAGTATGAAGCCACCAAAACTTGACACCATCACTGGGGGATTATTCCCAAGCTYAGCAGCAAAGCAATCCCCTCCCTCTCACACACTGGGGGAACTCTGAACTCTGACACAGCAGGAGAAACAGCCAAGGTCTGAGAGTGCCCCAGGTGCCTTCCTTGGGGACAAACCCCAGGAGATGGACACCAGCAGGCTGGAAATGAGGCAGGAGCACAGCCAGGACAGCACCCACCTGCCACGAGCCAAATGGCTCCACCTTGAACGAGGCGAGGCAGCAGAGCCCGGCCACGTAGCACAGCCACTTCTGCTTGGCCAGCGCCACCGAGTAGAGGAGCAGGCAGTGGGACAGGATGATCATGAGGTACACCAGCCCCATGCTGCCCAGCACRGCCAGGACCCCGTAGATCATGTACATCACAGCCCGGTGCTGGGGAGAGAACAGCCACGGTCAGGGGAGTGAAAACCCCATCCCAGAGCATTCCCCCATCCCAGAGCACCCTCCAAGCCCCTTCCACAGATCCCAGGCACCCCCAGTGCCCTCAAATCCATCCCCCTGCTCGCCTGGCTCACCTGTGGCACAGTCATGGAGCAGATCTTGCCGAAGAGGACGTGCCCCGAGAGCGCRAAGATGATGATGTTCCTGAACGAGGTGAACCACATCACCCACTCGAAATCGGCCACGTCCTGCGGGAGCAGCACCGGGCACTTCACTGCCCACAGCCCCTTTTAAARCCTTTTCTTCCCGTTTTCCACCCAAGGGCTCCCGAGCACTTTAGCTCGATAAAACCCCGGAAGGACATGCAAGAGGTCGCACATAAAGCAGAGCGTCCACAGCCCTGCAGGGCCGGTATTTTCCCCCACTAATTTAGGGAGAGAAATACGACCCACGTGGGCTTTGCAAAAGCATGTCAGCAGCAGGAAAACCAGCTCGGTTTCTCCACTGACCGGACTGTCTGTAGCTAGAAAAGCCCGAGCCYCTCCTCACTCACCATCTTCCTGCCGAAGTAATGCCAGCCCGGCTTTATGGCATCCCGAAAGGCCTTTCTGTTCATGCTGTCTGCAAAAGAACCAGAGTTACGGGGAGGGAAACAGCTCCGGGAAACGGGACCGGGGTGCACGCCAGGCAGGGAGCTTTCACCGTTGTGATAATGTGCCATTAGGGCTCAAATACCCCATCCCAAAAGTGTCTGATTGCCGCGGGCAACCAAAAGAGTCAGCGACCGYAGCTGTTTCTGCAGGAATTTTCAGCAAAGCCTTTTTCCCACTGCGCATCCCCTGGCTGATCCCATAAAGTTTTCAGGTTTGTGGGCTTCCAGACAACCAAAAAAAAAAAAAAAAAAAAAAAAAAAAAAAAAAAAAAAAAAAAAAAAAAAACAAAAAACCCCAAACAAACAAAATCAAAAGAAAACAAACAAACAGAAAGAAAAGGAAGCAGCTCTGTGTAAGCAGAGTGGTGTTTGCCTGTTTTGGCACTGCCTGGAGACCTGAGACATCCCACAACCTCCTGCTCTGAGATGTGGAAATAGGGACAAGAGAGCAACCGGGCAAAAATCCCTATAAAAAGGATTTCCAAGCTGTTCTCTGCAGAAATTCAAGCCAAGGATCTGCTGCTRGTACCGACAGCTGTAAAAGCAGGCACCTTGCAGCCATCCTCCCTCCGGGGGGCTGCGAGGGGAGCGTTACCTCGGGATGCCTCGAAGATGCCGCTGCCGCTGTAGAGCACGGCGCAGGTCACCACGAGAGCGTAAAAGCCCAGCTCGTAGCTGGGGAGCATCGCTTTAACCCCCATGGCGRGCGGTCACAGCCCCGGCCGGCGCGGGGGATCCACACCTGGGGAAAGGAGAGAGGAGAGCGGGGAAATCCGGGGGTGAGAGCTCATTGCCCCTCGAACACCCTGAATGGCTGCCGCTCCTCGCCAGCTCTGCTTTGGGAAGGAAGAAAGGGTCCCAYCCGGGGCAGAGCCCCCGAGAACAGCTCAGGTGCGAAGAGGCTCTTGCAAACCCCACTCAGGAGCCGGGATTTGGGGCAGCTCAGCCAGGTGTCCCTGGTAAGGGGCTCTCCCCTCTATCCCGATGCTCAGAGCTGCTCCAGGGTGCCAGCTGTCCAGGAGGGGGTTCCTCCAGCGTGTTCCTGATTTCCCCGCTCCAATTCCCGCTTGGATCCATGGAATGGATCCAGGACAGAGCAGGAGACGCCGCTGGAGGGGGAAACACGATGGGTTTCCCCAAATCCTCTGCCCTGGGCTGTCGCTCACCTCTGCTGGGCTTTTGCCCARCCTCCAACTCTCGGAGGGCTCCCAAAGCCCCGTGCTCCCAAAATTGTCCCGGCCAGGAGCCTTTAGGACCCTGCAGACACGGCTAAACCCCCCAGCGGCATCAGCAGCGCTTGGGGGATGCCGACACCCAGCCCGGCAATTAGCCCTGGGCTAATTACTGCTGCCGAGGCTAATTAACCCCGGCGCGATGTGTCCTGCATCTCCGAGCCTCCCGACTGCCCGTCCGGCAGCTCCCAAAATGCGGCTCGGGGCCGGAGCGGGCGGGATGCGGGGGACAGGGACACCCCTCCCCCCGTGTGGGCACCCACCCGCGATCATCCCTGAGAGCGCTGGAGGGATTAAGGAGTAAAAAGCGCCTCGGTCACCCTCGGCTTTGGCAGCCGCGCCGCAAAGCTTCTGCGGTTATTAAAATAACTATATTAAAAATTAAAATAATATTAAAATTATTRTTTTAATTTTAAACGCTTATTTTTGGCTTGGTCACTGAGGTTTTTAAGGGGGGTGGAGGAGATCCTYGGCAGCGATGCGGGGTGACCCCATCTCCCCCCAGCGTGGATCAGGCTCTTTTCCCGGGGGGGATTTCGGGCTCATCCCGGGGGTTTTGCGGGGGTCGCCCCGCGGTCACTCCCGGTGCGGGGCCGCTGCGGGCRGGCGCTGCCACCGCGCTGCGGTGCCCCTGCGGCGGGAGGGCACGCACCGAGGTGCCTTTAAAAAGCTTTCCGTCCTCCTTTCCACTCTTTTTTTTTTTTTTTTTTGGCGAGGGAGCCCACCCCGCAAAGGAGCCGGCAGCAGGGGGTGACCGACCCTGGGGGGGGCGAGGGGGCTGGCGGGGGACCCCTCGGACAGTTTTAACTCCTGATCGCCCCCGGGTTGAGGCTCAGGGAGGTCCCAGCACAGCCCCCCCGAGCCCCGAGCGGCCGCGGGGCAGCAGCATCCTCAGCGCCCCGCTCCCCTCCCCGGCCCCCGGCCGGGTTCTGGGGACAGGCAGAGGTGACAGAAAGCCCCGGAGGTGCGGGCACAGCGTGTCACCACCCGCAGTGCGATCCTCCCCAGCCCCGCATCGCTCCCCGCTACTGACCTTGAGCCCCGGGGCCACGGGGGGAGGCGGGCGAGGGTCGGGGATCCAGCGTCCAGCACCGCGACGGGGGGCAGGAGGGGGCAAAGGGACAGGGGGGCACTACAGAGGGTTTGGGGGGCCGTGGGCTGCCCTACAGCATCTCTCAGCCCGGCTGGGGAGGGGGGGCGAGTGTATTTTTGGGCCGCCGTCCCCCACCTTGCCCCTGGAGGAAGTTTGGCTGGGAGTGGAGCGGAGCAGGCGGGAGGTATTTTTATTTTAGAGCAGCACTGCAGAGGGGGGTGGCTCGGGAGCTGTCTGTCACAGCAGCTGCTGAGAGGACCCGTGCTGGCTGCCAAAGCTCACCCCGAGCCAGGGGAGCCGGCCCGGGGAGCCCCGGGGAGCGGCAGAGCCGGRCAGGGACCGGGTCCCTCCCGGGGGGATTTGGGAACCCTCTTTCAGCCCTGCAAGGGAGRGGGTATCCCCCATCACCTTATTCCAGAGGGAGATATCATTGCCTGGGGATGGGGAAAYTGAGGCACGGAGCCAAAAGGAAGTGTAATTCCTACTCAGCTTGGGCAGTGTTTAAATCTGGGTGAGGCTCAGAGGTTGCAGCATCTCCTGCTCACAGGTAAAAAGCGTCAGGACAAGAGGAAAAGGCCTCGAGATGTTCCAGAAGAGGTTTAAGTTGGCTGTTATTAAAAATTCCTTCCCTGCAGGTGTTGTCAGGCACTGGAACAGACTGTGCAGGGAAGTGGTGGCATCACCATCCCTGAAAGTGTTCCGAAAACCGTGTGGATGTGGCTTTTGGGGACCTGTTTTAGGTGGGTTTGGCAGTTGGGTTCGGTGATCTGAGARTTCTTTTCCAGTTCTAATGATTCTGGGATCACTACAGGCCACATTTGGGGTCTCCCTCTCAGCCTCCAGCACCCCCAGCCGGGCACAGCAAGGGGCAGGGCTGTGTCGTGGCCTCTGTTATTCCAGGGAGGCAAACACAGCTCAGCCAAGAGCGGGCAGGGGCAGGGGCAGCTCCGTCCCTGTGCCCGATCTTTCACCAGCCCCTGTGAGATTTGGGGACACCTCACCCTGGGGCCAACTCCCTGAGCATCTCTGGGCTGCCTGTGGGGTCAGGGGCAAGCAACAAGGCAGAGAACCACGGATTTTATAAACACCTCCATGGGCTGCCTGGTTTGCAGTMAGATGCCGCGTTCTGTGCTCCAGAGAGGGCGATCTCCAGTTCTGGCAGCTCTCGGGTCAGCCCAGCTTTGCTGTTGCACCGGCTGAGAAAAAAAAAAAAAGGGTTTTTAGCATAATTTTCTACCTGGTGCGCACAGAGAGAGGCTCTCCCGGTGGCAACACTTTCAGCACCTAACGAGCCGCTTTAATTTGCAGCAGCCGGGGCAGGACTGAGCCCGGAGCTCCAGCCTGGATCCTGCTGCTGCAGCTCCATCCCTGCCCGGGGCTTGGCTCCCTCACCTCGCCATCACTGAACGGCTGCTTAGAGCGAAGTGATGAAGAGATGGGTGCAGATAAACGCGGGACGCGATTCTTGCTCTCAATTCCTCGCTCTCCCGGTGCCTGGGACGGGCAGGGGTTTAGGGGCAGTCAGGGCTGTGCATCAAGGAGCTCAGCAGCAGGGAAAATAAATCTGTGGGTGCAGATGGACATGGGCTCAGCGTGGTGGTGGGGATGTGTAGGGAGGAAACGAGGAAAGGCACACCCATGTCAACCCCTGGCTCCTAAACCCACTCACTCCCCACCCCAATCCATGCAGAAAGCAAAGCCAACCCCCAAATCCCTTTTTTTTTTTGTTTTTTTTTTTTGTTTTGTTTTTGTCACAGCCCCATCGTGCTGCTCCCCTTGGGCACTGGCATCCTGAGTGTTCCAGGCTGATGGTAAATTTTCACCTTCTTTATTTTTTTTTAATCCTGAGAAATCTGTGATCCCACTGCTTTCAAAGTGCAACATAGGTGAAGGGCTGGGCAGYGGTTTTTCATGAGGCTCTGGGAGCTGTGGTGATAAAAATAATTTAGCTTTAATTTATAGACATTATAAAAAATTAAACTCCCCCTYGCTCCTGATTTCTAATAAAATAAGATTAATTTTTAATGTGACTGGGGCATCTTCCTCAGCACAGGGGACATTTCTGTGTTTTATTGCCCCAGTCTTTATGGCTTTGAGCTGCCTTAAGGGATATTTTTTCAAACATTTGGGAGGTGGGGTGGTGGCTGGATTCAAGGAGTGGTGCTTGGCTCTGCCCCAATGAGGCATGGCACAAACTGGGGATGTTAATGGGGACACCAAATCCCTGGCTGTTGTCCCCCTGCTGCTGGAGCAGAAATATGAATGGGAAGCACAAAAGGTTTTAATAATGGTCCTAGAATGGTTCAAAGGGACTTTAAATTTCTTCTAATTCCATCCCCTGCCATGGGCAGGGACACGTCCCACTGTCCCAGGGTGCTCCAAGCCCTGTCTCACCTGGCCTTGGACACTTCCAGGGATCCAGGGGCAGCCACAGCTTCTCTGGGCACCCTGGGCCAGGGCCTCCCCACTCTCACAGTGAGGAATGTCTTCCCAATATCCCAATGTCCCTGCCCTCTGGCATGGGAAGCCATTTCACCTGTCCTACACTCYCAAGTCCCTGTCCAAATTCCCTTTCCTGTTCTCATGGGTCCCACATGAATTGTTTTCTACTGCCTTGGGTTGTCCCATCAGGCTTCTGATGCAAACCATCACTGGAAACCATGCCAACCCCACTAGGCTGGCTCAGGAGAGGGGCATGTGTCATCCATCCCTGTCCATCCCTCCATCCATCCATCCATCCATCCCTCCATCCAAGATCAGCCCCAGGATCCCTCTCAGCATACCAGAATGGCTCTGTCCGTCCCCCATGGCACACACTCACCCCATCAAAGGTCACACAGCTCCAGCCACCCCAGGAAAARGCTCTGAAGGAGACTCCCAACACCTCCCCCCTCCCAAACCCCACTACCTTCAGCTCCTCTCCCTACAATCCCCTCCCATTCCTGAAAAAATGCTCCAATTAGGTCAGTGACAGCTTAGAAAGATCCCTCCCCATGCCTTGCTGCCACACTGCATCCCACAGATCCCTCTTCCCCCTGAGCCACGAGCTGCTCTGAGCCCAGGACTCAACCCCTGGGAATGGTTTTGGAGCTGTAAGTGGAGACTCCCAGGGATTTAGGGGAGGATTTGGCATTTGTTGAGTGAGGCCACCCTGTCCCATAGGAGCAGCCAGCTCGGGAGCTGGGCCTGGAGGGGAGAGGATGAAGGGAGAAACCCAATATCCTCTTGGCTCTGTCGTGGCTTAATTTAGAGCACAGGGGCTCTGCCAGAGTGTTTTTCCATTTAAAGCTGAACCTCTTCCCTTTTGTCCTGCACTGTGCCCTGCAGAGCAGTGGCAGCTGCTGGCTGGGGCTGCTGGGGGCCAGTAAAGCAATTTCCAACTCAGTTCCCCTTTGCCACCARCTTCCTCCCCATTTCTCCCATGTGAAGGACTGAAATGGGTCTCCTCCTCCCATTCCTGTCCTGCTTTGCAGCCTCAGGAAGGGCAGGAGCTTCCCACAGCCCCAATCCACAGCTCTAAATTGCAGTGGGATGGGCTTTGWTCCCCCAGCTGATCCTGTGCCCCTTGTCCAAGTGGATCCCAGGGCAGGGAGAGCTCTCCTGTGTCAACACTGTCTGTGTTTAACCACCCTAACWCAACTTAATTCATGTTACAGTCACTTTGGAGAGCTCTTTGCAGGTAAACTCCTGGCACCAGGCCCAAAGGAAATGAGGACAATTCATCAAAGATCATTTATTCCCAGCAGTTCAGCTGTACTTTAAAATGGGATGCATCCATCAGGCACTGTGTGGCTGCTCTATGGACGAGCTCTGTCCAGCTCCAGGGCAGGAGGCAAGTTTTGGCTCAGCCCAAGTGTTTGGGGAACTCATATTTGGAGTTCAGAACTGGCCAAATCCTAACAAGGAGTCTCCATGGCCAAATACTCGCAGCAAAATKAACCTTAACTGTACCCAGCAGCCTGTGCCAGCACTGTCACCTCCAGCCTGTCATCACCATCAGCTGCAGTGAGAGACTGAAAAAAAATCAGAGCTTATCAAAAAGCTGCCTGGGACACGACTCTTCACTGGAGGAAGGTTGTCCCAGTGAGAAAATGCTGGGGACTCACAYTGTCTTTATCTATGAGAGGCATGACAGTGGCTGGCTGCAAACTGGAGCCAGACAAATTCAAATTAAATTGAGATACAGGATTTTAACAGGCTGCTGTTTAGCCATGAAGGAAAAAAAMCACTGAAAGTTCCAAGGGAATCAGGGGGTTGTGGTATTTTCATGTCAAGCTCAGTGACATTCCTAAAAGAAATGTTTTAGCTCAAGCAGCACAAGAAGTGTGCTGGAAGGATCCTGGGGCTGAGGACCAGCAGTGTGGGGTTTTTGCAGGCAGAGAGGAAAATATGATCATTGATTTTGTTCTCCAAGTGATGGATTGGGGTACACAGGGGCTGCTGCTCCCAGGGTCTGCCAGGATTTCCAATATTCACGAAAATGCTGCAAGAAAATTGGTCTCATCCCTTGAAAAGTGGGAACCAGCAAGAGCCATGGGGAGAATTCAAGCCAGGTCCCTCTGTGGAAGTGCAGGGGGAACATATTTCAAAACATTGAAAAGCTCTGGACATTCTGAGCTGTGTTCAGACCCTCCCACTCTGTGACAGGAGACAGATTGCAGATTTCCATGAGGAGCAGCTACTTACAGATACAGRCTGTCTAAATAAACTTTTAGTAGCTGGATTTTTGTTTTGTCAAGGCATCCGGTGGTGTAGAAAAAAGGAGCAAATGCTTCTGTGGAGCYCCAAACAAGCACAAGTTTAATGAAATGAGTGTAGCAGCACTTGGAAAGRGGTTTGCAGGAGAGCCATATGTRTGCTGTGACATCCCAGTTTCTTCCSTGTGCTTGAGGGSCTGATTCAGAGCCCTTTTCCTGGAGAGAGGTTTGATCKTCACAGCTTCCCTGGCACACGGGACAAGGAAGGGCAGCAGATGCCTCTGCTCTGCTCCTTGAAAATGTTATTGATTCACACTCCTGKGTAAGCGAAATCAGAACCTGCAGCTCCAAGTTACGGCCTGAATTTAGCAGCACAGCCCCACAGCCCTGCCCTGTGGGGGATCTGTTCCCTACTGCAGGTTCCTGAAACCCCTGTCAGAGGTGGGATGATTCCCTCCCCTCTGCGGAGTCATCAGGATGGAGCTGAACAGAAACTGAAACTGTGGCTCACTCTCAGCCCAGGATTTATTCCTCAAGCTGTSCAGAGATGATTGAGGGCTGCAAGATGCTTTTACCTCTGATGCTACTGGCAGGAAAAATATGGCAATGAAWGGTTCTGCTTTTTGGGAGGGAGGTCCCTGGGAGCTTGGCTGAGCTCTGGGGCAGTGCTGGGGGATGGAGCAGCTTCSTAAGCACAGGGAGGGTTAATTCCCTGTTAGATCCCAGGTGCTGAGCTTATCCTCAGCTCCCTGACCTCCTCCACCAGGGACTCCAGGAACTGTTTGGAAAGAAACATTCCTGAACCTAAGGAGAAAAAACAGGGACAACACACCTGGAGTGACTCCTGCTCTGCTTTTTCACTCTGCACAGGGGAGTCAGGATGAAATCCCACTCTGGGGAAGGGAACAGTGATTTTCCTACACAAAAATYCACTTTGCACTGGTGACGTTGGCTGGGGTTAAAGCCTGACAAACTTCAGGCTCATAAAAAGAGTCTGACAAAGCAAAGCAGARAAAGAAGAGCTTTCAAGACTTTCAAGTGAGAAACAAAACAGCACTGTGCAAAAAAGACTGGCTCTCCATTTGCCTGGAATCCCCAAGGCTGCTCTGCACTGGCAGGCTGCATGGCAATGCCTGATTAGCTTGCACTCCGTGTCCTCACTCTGCTGCAGGAGAGAAGGACAGGGCTGGGAGGGTTTGCAGCAGCTCCAAAAGTCCCAGCACTGCTGCAGCAAAGACCTGCCTGCATTTTGTAGCATTTCTTCCAGAGAGAACAAGATCTGTCTGATGGATGAACGCAGAGACCCAGAAACAGGGAATTCATAATCTGGATGGCAGATTTGATATGGAATGAGCTGAATTTAAGGTAGGCTGACTCATCACAGGGGTAATCTGCAGTTTTTCAGTGCAAAGTCTACTGAGTTCAGAAAACTGCTGTCAATGTGTTCAATCAAAGGAAGAGTTTGGGATGGTGAGCAGAGCCCACCCAAAGGTGATTTGCAGATAGTCCCAGGTCAGGCTAATCCTGTGCCTCGGGCACTGAAGTGCTGCAGAAAGCCTGAGCCAGGCAGGTACCAGGGTGGGGATAAAAACAGAGCTTGTTTTGTTCGAAGGAAGGGGTTGGCCTAACTTTTGTACAGCAAATTCCTTCCTGAGCTGAAAAAAGCAGATTGAATACTGAGCTCTCTCAGGAAGCACAGTACTGAAACCAGGGAGGTTTTGCCCAAAATCCCCCTACAGAATTGTAGCTTCCCAAACTGTACCAACTACAGCACGTGCAGCCCTGCTTGGAAGGCTCAGAGAGAATTTGGTGACACATGAAACCTTCCCTTTTTGTATTTCATCTCTGTTTCTCATCCTGAGACATTAGAAATGAGAAATGACACGATCTGAGGCTGCAAAACGACACTGCCACTGCATTTCAATTCCCAGGCACTGTGCCTGGGCTCTCTCCCTGCTCTGCAGTCCTAAGCACTGGGAATATCTGGCTTAACTCTTCTCTTGTCTSTGGTGCTGAATGACCTGTGAAAAGCTATTCTTCACTTGCTCCACTGTGTCTTGATACAGTTTAAAATCTTCATCTCTCTTTCTCACAGTGTCCTCCAGAGCAGCTTTCAGAGCTTTGTTCTCATCCAGCTGGATCACAAGCCTGCAAGGAAACAAAAGGAAAAAACTTCCCCGTGAGCTGGGGAGCTTCAAAGCAAATGAGAACAGTTGCCTCTGTTCTGGGGAAGAAACACTGAAACCCAGGAGCTGTGGTGGTTTTATGACAGCCGTGAGAAAGAGCAGGCTGAGCACTTGTTCCTCATCTCCCTGAGGAGGGAAAGAGTAATCCCAGAAAGAGCTATCCCAGAAAGAGCAATCCCAGGCAGAGCAATCCCAGAAAAAGCAATCCCAGAAAGAGCAATCCCAGAGTTATCCAAGAAAGACTAATCCCAGAAAGAGCAATCCCAGAAAGAGTAATCCCAGAAAGAGCAATCCCAGAAAGAGTAATCCCAGAAAGAGTAATCCCAGAAAGAGTAATCCCAGAAAGAGCAATCCCAGAAAGGGTAAATCCAAAAGGAGTAAACTCAAAAAGGAGTAAACTCAAAAAGAATAAACTCAGATAGAGCAATCCCACCATGGAGAAAGGGAGAACATACCTCATGCTCAGCTCCTCTACCTGAGATTCCAGGGGCATTTTGGACAGGGCAGCAGAGAGGTCCTTCCTGTCACCCCCGTGCAAGCAGAGTTTTGACTGGGCTGGAGATTTAATCACAGAACAGAGTTTTAGGAAAACAACATATCAGTTTTKGCAGCCCACTGAGTCAATAGCAAGAAACAGTGAATAAATACGAAGGAATCTCTGATATTCTATGTATATCCATGAGGATACTGTAAATATATGACAGATTTGTATTTAATTCCCTTCCAGCCAAATGAAAACATGATGAATTTGCATTTCAGGGCTAAATATGTGCTGACATATGTAAAGAGGAAAATAATCCAAAATATTTAAGTGACCAAAACAAGAGGTGACAGAAACAGCTGAAAAAGATTATTTTGATGTTAATTTTGTAGTTTCAGATTGTGACAACTGCTTCTTCCTGAATTTCTGGGACAAAGTTTGTACGTGACACCCATTGAAAAAGTTTTGTAAAGCAATTTGATGTTCAGCATAAACACAATGTAGGTTAAATGTATTTCAAGGTGTACTTCAAACCAGGGTTCTAACTCAGAAATGCTTTCCTAAATAAAACTCTACCTAAAACATGCAGCTCTGGTCATTTCAAAAACACTCAGAAACTTTTTTCAGGCTTATATGGAAAATGTARTTCAAATTTACTGCTGGGACTGGAGAAGCAAAACCTGTGACCCGTGAATCCCTGCAGCRGAAGGAGGATCAGAGAAGTGTTCAAAGAGCTCAGAAAGGGGTGCAGAAAGTGAGCAGAGCTATTGCAGAGGATGCTGAACTCCTCCCAGCACTGAGGGACTGCAGGGTGGTCTCTGCTGCAGGTAAAAACCCGAATCATTTCAATAAATGTAAATAAATGASCTTTTATAAAATAATTAACAGCAAACACCACCTACCTGAAGCCAGGTAACATGAGGGAAGGATTTGTGTGGTTCAGCCCAACAGAAATTATTAAAAAAATCCAAAAAAGAGGTACATGAAGAAAACAACAGGCTCAGGCTGGCTGCGATCCTTGAACTGGGTAATACAGTTTTATATTATAATGTATTATATTGTATTGTGTTACATTGTATTATATTGTCTTATATTGTATTATATGAATATTATATTATATTATATCTATCATATATCATTTATATAATATATATTATATTATACATATAATATATATTATATTATACATATAATATATATTATATCTCATATATAATATATCATATATGATATTATACTGCAATATCATAACACTGAAGTTCTAGGCTGGCATTGGGAACCACACCTGTGTTCTGCTTTTACTGTGCCCTGCAGTTGCTGTTTTGTGCTTGTGTTGTCATGCTGGTACGTTCCTGTACAACTTTCCCCAACTCATATCCCTCATAACATCAAATATCTTCAAATAAATACATTTGGTATTAAAACACTAAATCCTCCTCGTGTGGAATACCTGAAAGAACCTGAGTGGAGAGTAGTGAACTCTGACAAAAACAAATGAGAAGAAAAGACTGCATTGTATAACTAAAAAATGCTTTTGATCTCGAGGCTGTKCTTTACAGGGCTGAGGAAAACCTGCTGTTACTTACCTATCTCTCCTCTGGGATTATTCTTTGATAATTTGGAACTTGGATAAGACAGGGGGAAAAAAAGCACAGAAAATGAAAAGCCTGAATAATTTTAAAACACAACTGGGTTGTTTCCAGCTACTTAGCATCATTATCTACTTGCCTTGAATTGAAGAGACCAGAAACATTAGATTAGCAATTAGATCAGCTCTCTCCAATTTTGCACTCTCAGAAAGAAAAGAAAATATTATGTTAATTAGCAGGTTCTCTAGTCTCTATTTTGTATTCAAGCTTTTCATTTCTTCTTATTTCTTCAACCACTGGCATGAAAGCATTGAGAGATAACCTCCATGCTCTGCTGAAGAGGTGTATTACAGACAGTAGACTTGGTTCTTGTACAAACTCCAGAGAGTTTTGGCACATCACAAAGCTCTCATCAAAGCAGGGTAGTGAAATAGATTGTTACCTACTCATCTCGTGGATTTAGAGAGGATTTCTCCTTATTAGCCTTACAGCCAATCCTTTTCTACTTTTGCTTTTAGTCCTTAAGCAGAGGAGATTAATGAGCTAAATATTTAGTGAGAAGGAATCTGTCACACTGGGAGGAGCAGCTTCTTCCTCTGGCTATGAAATGCCAACTTCCAGGGATGAGTTACTAAAACTTTACTACAGCACAACAAAACTCAACCAAAATGCCTCAGGACCTGGAAAGTTTGTCTCTCTTGGAGCTTGCAAGGGGAAGTTTTTATAACAGAACACATTAACACTTGGCCTGTTGTACAGAAGTCTGAGYACTCAGAAACTCAGCTAAATTCTCTACAAGGCAGCACCAAAATGCTCCCACACCACTGGATTTAAATTTTCCTGCATTACTTTTTCTGCTTTCAGTTAATACAGGTGAAACAACTGAGAATCAGAGCTCACACAAAAACACATGAGAATGAGTCAGTGTGGGCTTGAGCCCTTTCCAAGGACACAACAATCCTGCTCGAAGGACTAAATCCATGTTTTACAGAGAAGAGTAGGTTTGAAGCACTCATTCAGTCCCCATTCACGATAAAGATTCTTCTGAAGGGCTCATCCAAAGTCTCTGATGAGGCTTAAGGTCCCTCTGGTCACCCTAACTCAGCCTGACACCATTTCAACACTGGCCAAATTGAAATTCCCCTTCCTGCTGCTCATCTCCTGGCATGTGAAATCTTTTTATTTTATGAAAATACACATAAAAGGGAAACCACTGGAAAAATTTCCTTAAGAATATGTGCCATTTTATTGGTTTAGACACTTTACAGAATCAGASTCCTTAAGCCATAAAAGGATCTGATCAGGGAAATAAAAATTTAACATCCACCATGAATTCTTCTTCTTTAACTACGCCGGTGAGGCTTTCATATTTATAGCAGGAGATTATCACGTTCGTGGGATAATAAATTACACCAGATCTAATTACTTCATCACCAGCAATAGTTTTTCAGAGGCACTGACAGGCCTTAAATTGGGATGCGTCCTTTAATTCTACCCTTAACCTTCACTGAATCCCTCAGGCACRAGTGCAAAGGGAGCTCGGGGCCTGGGGGCAACGCAGAGCAGGGGAAAGCTTTTTTCCTGGAGTTATCCACTGGAAACACGCTACAAAAATCCTGTTCCCTCTCAGAATTGTGAGCAAACCCTCAGGAATCAAGAGGGGCCAGGATTTTGCCTCCTGCCTCACTCCTGGGTCTGAGCAGGTCCCATCACCACGTGCGGGGTCAAGCGCTTGGCCGGGTTTGGCAGAGGGAGCCCAAATGTTGTCGCTGTCCATTAAGCCCAGAGGTGACACAGGGGACAGAGTTGTGGCTGAGGGCTCCCTCTCACCTGCTCTGCTCCTCTGGGGAGGTTTCTGTGCTGTTGTGCTGCTCCCTGGATCCCCCTGAAGCTTTTCAAGCTGCTGCTCCAAAAGGTCGCTTCTCCACTTCTCTTCCTGAAGCCTCTTCTCAGCTTCCATGGCTTTGTCACTGCATTCCTCTGCCCTGACAGGCAAAAAAAAAAAAAAAAAAATAGTTCAGCTCATTTGTGTCATGTCTATGTCAAATCAGTCTTGGTATTGAATCCTTCTTCTCAACAGAATGGAAAGAACTTTCCATGCATCCAAAGGCAAAAATCCCAGTGAAATTGTTTCACCTTCCCAACATGCAAAATATATTAATTGATCTAAATGAATACAGTTGGAAACAAAGGGTTTAGCAATGGTGGTTGCTCAGATCCCTAAACTCCGTCTCCCTGTGTGAATTCACCCCTCAGATGAGTGGGAAAGCTGTGGATTGCTGAGGAGAGATTTTATTACAGGAATAATAAACTGCATTTTTAAAACATTCTGGGGAAGTCTGGAAGGAAAATAGTTTATAAAAACACTGCCTAACATTTACGTAAGTTATCTGAGAGGAAGAAAAGAAACCTGAGGCTGCTTTTAATAAACTTGGCCATTAGACATGACCGTGGATGGGAGAAGGTGGAAAGGAAACTGATGGTGACAGCACAAAAGAGCAAATTGCCTCTCTCCATCCTGCATAACATCTCAGAAAATTACCTACAAAAATCTGATGTGCACCCACAGATGCTGTCAGTGGGGCAGTGACTGATACCAAATGATTTCAAGGAGTTTAAAGCTAAAAAAAACCCAAACTGACTCACTGTATTGGACTGAATRAGAGAATTTTCCTCCTGACCCCACGGGTGGAAGCTGATTACTCTCTGAATCAAGAGACTTGATTAGTTTATTTTCCTCCTTGTGACATAACTAAAAGAAAAAATATTACAACTATAATGAAATTATATCACTGTCTTAAAAATGTAGCTACAGGCAAGGCTCGACCTCCTGTGCCAATGAATTCCCAGGCTGGTGAAGTGCTCTGAGACATTTTAGTCCTCTCAGKGGTTCTGCATTCACTAAACTTTCATTTGACCTGGTGTTCCTCTGGCATTCACATTAGACAAAATGTGGAGGTAAAATGGCAAGATTGCAGGGTTTTTTTATGGAATCTTCTGCCAGGAGGATTMATTTAAACTAAAATGCTGTAGAAAAATCCCACTTGTAGCAATTCCCAGCGCTCTTCTCTTGATTTAAGCATTATCTCTGTTACCCGAGCTTTGTTACACCCCAGCAGGGGAGGGAGGAGGAGGAAAACCTGAATTTTTTAACATATATTCACATTGAAATCTGACTGGTGCTATATTACCCTGAGTCTTGCAAGAGTTATTGCACAGAGTCTCACAAAATTTATGTTACCTGCTTGATAAATGTGTGATAACTGTGGGGCTGCTGAATCATCAGTTTATGGCACATTTTACAAGCAACTGTGCATTTCATTGACTCTGTTTTTCATTATCCCATCTTGGTGGTGGCCACACTTCAGTTACCACTCACAGCCCCCTCCTCATCTGATTGCAYAGCTCTATTAAAGTCACCAGGCTTACAAACATGAAAAAGATTTTTCCCAGTATGTATTTTCAGAATTTAGCTTTAAAAGCATCTTTTCCACAGCTCTAAAGAAATAAAAATATGTATTTTTCTGACTGTGATTAATCATGCAGGACAAAAGTTATACAAGTGAGAATGATAACTACAGGAAAATAAAGCAAGTAAGCGAACAGTGCTTATTGTATTGACAAGCACCAGATGAAATTATACTTCCAATATTGGAATACAGAGTTGGGAATCAAGTAACACATGCTGGGAAAAAAAAACAGTAGCTGAAGGGTGTAAAAAAAATTACTTTGCTTTCCTTCCCTTCTAAAACATAGCTGGTTTTTAACATCATCTTATATGGAACTGAATCATAGCAAAGAAAATTAAAAAAAAAATCAGTTAAACCAGATTAAATTCATTTAGAAAAGGATACAGTAAAACTTAAAATGAATGTGAAGAGCTTTGGAACAGAATATTATAACTATAATTACAGTATTTACTACTGATGAATAATGCTGCTGCCTAAATAAGGCCATGCATATATAAATACAGGAATTCTGGTTTTATCTAGGTGCAGCAAGCTGGAAGATGGCTCCATTTTTTTTCTGCCCTTTGTTCTAAAAGAATAATAAAAAGAATGAATCATCAGCCAGGCAGGGAAATTGAGCAGAAAAAAATTGAAAAGCCCCTATTTAAGGCAAGGATCACAGCGTGTGCTGTACTGTAGTGCACATCCCAGACTCTGTGAAGTGTTCCCTGATCCCAGCACCCCACAAAGGATGCTGGTGGGATGAGGCTGTACCTTTTATGCAGCACAGACACCATTTCCAGGAGCTTTTTCCTCTCCACTTCAGCAGCCTGGCACAGAGCCCTGTGCTCTGTGATCTGTGTCTGCAGCACTTCCCAGCCCGAGCCGCCCTTGCCACTGGAGCTGAGAAAAGCACAAGCACACAGAGACTATTTCTCACTTCTTAAAGGAAAGAAATGAAACAAAGACAGGATTCGAGCAACATTTCAAACACACTTGTCTGAAGGTGAAGGCAGAATGCAGAGCCAAGCTCACTACCTCCCCCCAGCACCAATATTGAGACTGCAATAAATAGAACAGAAATATTTGGATATAAAGTCAGAGAGAATTTCATTAGAAAGCCATTTCCAGGCTGCTTCCCCTCCCCATCACCCCTGAAAACAAACTTCCACCTTTGATCAATTCATTATCGCTGACTCTCCTCCCACTGCTACTGCCAAAGTAAAAGAACATTCTATCTCCCAAGTGCTACACTAAACTATTAAATGCCCTGCTATTGATTTTCTCCCTCTGAAAGGCTTCAGGCAGCACTTGCACAATGCCTCTTCTCATGTCCAATATGTGATGAAAGGAAGGGGCAGTTTTCCCATGTATCCCATTATTATGTACTTCATTACTTCTCTRACCTCTCTGCATTCAAGAAGATCTCCTTTAGAAGAAAAAAAAGCAGGAGAAATATTGGTGGTTGGGAGGAAAAGTGGGGGGAAAAATCAGTGTCAAACAAGCAATCAATTACAAAATTAAGAGAGAAATAAGATGTTAGACCTCTTGGGCAGCTTCAGGTAGGAAGGAYGGCACAAGAAGCTTTCATTACAGAAACAAGGAAGGCAGGACAAGGATTTCCAGCACCTTCCTTGCTGGTAATGAGATTTCCATACCCACCTTCCAGGTGGGATGTTATCCCTGAGGAAGAAAGGCTCCGTGGGTGCCGACTCCACGAGCGTGTGGCCCATCCTGGACACGGTGCTGAGGGGAGCAAAGCTTTGTTAGGGGCCCCACACTTCCCAGAATTCCAGTCCTTTCCCAATGTCTGTGTTTTGTAGGGAAGAGCTCCCTCACCTCACGCCTTCAGCCAGCACTGGGARAGACCAGCCCAGCTCTCTGTGCAGTTTGGTGGTGTTTGAATGTCACAGATTTTCATAACAAAGTGAACCCATGCTCTGCAACAAGGTACACAACTTGTACCTCCAAATGCCCTTTAAAAAATATTTTACACCGTTTTCTGAAATCTGTTTTGTGAAAACCCTCAGGAAGATCTGTCAGGTTCACTGCTGTAAGGGGAGGAGCCAGATGAGTATCTGGAGTGTCACTTGCAGCCTGGATGAGTTTTATGCATAATTATATGTGTGTTTAGGACATCAGTTTTAGTGTGTGTGTTTGGGACATCTCATCTGAGTGTGTGTGTGTGTTTGGGACATCCCATTTTGGGGTGTGTTTGGGTCATCCCATTTTGGTGTGTGTGTGTGTTTGGGACATCCCATTTCAGTGTCTGTTTGGGACATCCCATTTCAGTGTATGTGTGTTTGGGACATCAGTTTTAGTGTCTGTGTGTGTTTGGGACACCCCATTTCGATGTATGTGTGTTTGGGACATCCCATTGTGGGGTGTGTGTGTTTGGGACATCCCATTTGAGTGCTTGTTTCCTCAATAGGAGCTCAGCTGCCCAAAGGCAAGTCCCTGCAGATTAACCCCACATTTCTTTAGGCTGTAGCTAACAAAAGGATAAAGCCCTAATCTTGTGGGAGAAACAGTGCTGCCTTCTAGGCAAGGAGTGGTTAATCCTAAAATCAAATTAAAGTTGATACTGACAGCCTTGGCCAAGCCTAAAAATGCAGATTTTTACTCTGCCATCCCTAAGGGGTTTAGCACCTATTCCCAGCAGGTTTCATTTCACCTTTTCTGATCTGAAAAGATGATTCACTACAGAGAAACAGAATCCAGAGTTCATCAGCATATTAAAGTTAATGGAAGGAGTGAGCCTTGCTGACCAAGTCATTAACAGCTCTCAGAGTTTTCAGGATCATTCATCGCCCACCTGACACGTCAGCTCTTTCCAAGACACAGCCCCTGGCCCTCTGCACGAGCAATAATTTATGCACTGCACTTAGTGGTTTCTACAAAGCCATTACCCAGTTTAGTTCCTGCTTACCATCAGCAGACACGTGAGGTTAAAAAAAAAAAAGGATAAAATATAGGTTTGTTCCACGAGAGCACAACAACTTCTGCAAAGTTAAAAAGGGGAGAATAAAAGCAGTCAGAAGGGTGCAGAAATTTTCAAATTAAGGATGGTTTAACTTTAACTCAAAAGCATAATTCTTCTTAAATTTTACAGTGATGTTCCACTTAGAGTCAGGGATATTCAGCTGATTTTAAAGACAAATTTGGTTTCTAAATAACGAGGTAGGAAGTTACACAGAAGGGATCAGTTGCAACTTTGACGGGATGAAAAATTTCCTCCTTCCCCGTAAGAACAGTCTCAAATCCTCATTGTCAATTAGCAAGAAAACCAGGAGCACTTATACAGAAAAGGCTATAACTTGCTGTAGTACCACGGCCCCTTTACACAGCCAGAGTGACCAAGAGTCATATCACTGTAAACAAAAATCAGATTTATCGCTTCTCTAAGATTAGTGTAATTTACACAGTCCTCAGCGAGGCTTTAAAAAGGGTGTTTGTTAAGAACAAATGATGTGGYGGGTTTTCAACATTTCTGCATGTAAATCCTACTCAAAGAGTATTTATTGATTTAAATAATGCACCATTGATTTAGTGCTCCCCTAAAATGGCATTTTGTATTAATTCCCCAGCCTGCTCATTAGAAGCTCTGTGTCTCATAAGGGAAAAGRCTCCCAGGCACTTAAGCTGACCACATAAACATTATCTGAGCTGCAGGAGAAGAAATAGCTGCGCTATGATCATGCCAAATCTAGTCATGCCTGCAAGTCTGCACATCCTTCTCTGCTCCAGGACAAAAGTCCAAGAGATAATGTGATTAGAGATTCCCATAAACTGCAAACAGGCTGCCACAGCTGTTGGCACAAGGCACTTGTGGTTTGATGAAACTCCCTGGGAAAACCAGGCTCCTGGATTACTCAAACAGCTTGAAATATTGACATTCTGGTTTTCTTACCGGGCAAATTCTGTCTTTCCAGCCTTGCTGCTGCCTGATCCCAGAGGTGCTCCTGCATGCCCGGAGGGTGGTGGATAAGCAGCTCCTGACCCGTCCCATGTGTGGGCAAATTTCTTCTGCTAATAGTGGAGCAGGTTACAAAGCCAATTACACAGTTCAGAGGAAAGCAGCTGCAGCAATGCCAAACCAACAGCTTATGATTATTACTACAAGCAGGCCAGAACTTTGGATTTACTGCACCTCCTCAGAAGCTTTGCTTCCATTTCTACCCATTGCAGGATGAAAACAAATCAGAAGTCAGTAAAAAGAGCAGATTATATGAAATCAGGGTGCACTAGAGAATACACAGTGCAGCACCATCACTGCCAGCACAGCTGGTTTGTGTCCCTAACCCAGGTTTTATCCTGTTCAGTGCCCCAGCCCCCATTCCTGAGGTATGTGGCACATTCACAACCTCACCATAACCCCAGGAAGGGTTTGGATCAATGGAAATGGGATAACTAAACACTTTTAACAAATCCTGACTGTCAGACAGCAGTAACTGGGTACTTGCTGATGTTGGTCTGACACATTTGGTTGCTTCCTCCTTCCAGCAGCCAAGGATGCTGAGCACTGAATCCCCAGTGCAGCCCCAAGTCCTGCTGTCAGTCAGGGACAGTCCTGACATGGGGCCATGTGCGGGTGTCATTGGTATTTCTGTGGTTTCTGCTGCTTAAACAGCCTGAAGTTATGCACAAAGGAACTGAGGAGCTACAAAAGAGAATTCCTGCTTTATCATTCCATCAGCAGAGACTGTCAGTAGGACAGGGATTACTGTCTGAGGCAGCAGCCATCTCAGATAACAAGGAAGTGGAAGAGCACACCTAAAATGATTACCAAGGGTGCTCTTCTAATTAATTTGTTCTGCCTACCTGAAGTGTGAGCTGCCCAATCTTCTCCTCCAGCCTTTTAACCTTTGTTTCTCGGTCAGCCACCAGCTCCCTGAGCTGCTCTATCAGGGAGTTTTGTTTCTGAACCTCCTCATTCAAGTGCTGCCCCATCATCTGCCGGGACTCCTTGTTCTGATCCTCCTTCTGGCTCAGGCCCTTTAAGATCTCCTGCATTTGCTTCTGCTGGCTCTGGTAAAATAGAAACGGGTGAAATCTTTATTTTGTACACAATGATTATTTCCACCCTCCAAGACAAATATCCATTTAGGAGTGGTAGGGCAAGCCCCTGCCCTGCCAAGCCTGTTCCTTGGTGGGAGCACACTGGTGTCACTCACTGGTGCCACTTTGGGAATTTGATTTGTTTTGTTGACCCGAGCAATGGTCAGATTCAATTTGCTGCCAGCTCTGCAGCTCAGTGTAGCAGAACACAGATCATGAAAGGCTGGCCTTAGACAAAGAAGTGGCTTTTTCATAAACTGAATGAAACTCGAGATTTCAATGTGCTTTTTGTGGAATTAGAACATGATCAGATTGTGGGATAGGGATATTAAAAGCTGAGAGTGCTATGGGGTGACAGATATGAGGCCAGGCTGCTTCGCCAGTGGGTTTTGGAGGTTTTTTCCACACTGACAAATCTAATACCTGTCAGGCAGTTTGTTCTGTCAGGCCAACAACCTGTGAGTAAAGTGCCTCTGTGATAGAAAGGATAAAACAGATTAACCATTCCTTCCCAAATATACTTGCATCTTTCTGTAATAATTTTAATAGGAATACTCAGGAAAAGTGAGAAATGTCCTTTGGCTCCCCTAATCTGCTGGTCAGCACCCATGTTCCCCACAGGGCTTGGTGTGAGAAGGGTGAATGCCAGCTTAGCTAAAACCTACTAGAGCAGCAAGGAAATCTGAGTGATTGGAAACCAGTGAGGAGCTGGATCAGGAAAAACAGAATCAACCCTACTAAGAGCTGGCATATTCTCTACTATATTTGCTATTTTAATTGAGGAAAGTTATTTAGAATCATGGCAGGACCATGACAGTMGCCATGTATTTCTTCCTCAGCATCTTGAGTCTCTGCTAAAACTCTTGGGCTTAAAGAGGCCAAATACTCTCAGCTCCAGCTCCTGCAAGTTCATGGTTTAGTACTCATGGTTCAGATTGTGTGTTTTGGGCTGTGCAACAAAATAAATTGAAGTTTTGTTACAAACAAAAGAATTCCTGCAAGACTGCAGGCATTTTAAGGGAAAAAAAAATCTACCAGTGGAGCTGAAAGTAGAACAAAGAATAAAGGCCAGCTCCTTGGGTCAGGACTGAAGCACTTCCTCTAACTATTTCAATCCTTCTGCAAAATGTTTCTTCCAGTCCCTGCAGCTCAGGGCCATTTGACTGCAAGTGTCACACCTGGTGCTCTCTCACAGCCTTTACATGGCCTGATCCAAACTGCAGGAGGACTCCAGCTGACAAGGAAACCTCTGGCTGTCACAGTGGGACTCATCAGGCTCCTGCATAGCCTAAGGCTGTGCGTGCCATGAAATGACATCGCGTTTTATCACCTACAGAAAGAGGGCTGTTCTGCAGGGGCTGGGACCAACAGACACAGACTGTACCAGCAAGGCATCTATGAGCTCATCATCGTGTTTCCCTTTCTCCAGCAAGGTTGCAATCTGTCCCTTCAGCATCTTCACTTCTCCACACAGCATTGTGTTCCTGGCTTTTGAGGCATCGAGTTTTGTTTTCAAATCCTCGTGGCTTTTTTGGAGAGTGTTGTGTTCCCTGGCGAGTTTCTGCAGTGGTGCAAAATGAAATGAAAGCTATAACATCACCAAGCCCCAGGTGCTGTGGTGAGCAAAAAGAATCACACATAACCTGGTAGAATCTAAAAAATGGGACTGGCATACTGTATTATTCCTAAGGAAGCAGAAATTATAAATGCTACTTGCTGCCTGCTTGCCTGTGTCCAAAAAGGGTCTGTCTGCTCAGAAATCCAGGGGGACCAGAATGATTGTCCACTGTTCTGGATTCTGGTTCTCCATTATTCTGTTCAAATGGAGAAGCCCAGAGCCCTACAGTCACAGGACGTGGGAGGGGATGTCTGTGTTTGGAATGAAGAATGGTCAAGGGGCCAAGGGGTGAGAGGGATACTATGGATTTTGGATGCAGCTGTAGCAGGGTTGGGCTGTGAAGTGGGGCAGAGCTTCCTGCAGCAGATCAGGTSGGGGTTTGTGAAATGGTTTTTTGGAAGGGTGTAACACACCCTGAAGGCAGGACAAGTCATTACACACTTCTCCACACCCAAACAGGACTCTGACAGTTCACAAGATTTTACCTCCAAAGATTCTTTCTTTTCTTTTTCCAAGTTTCGAATCTTCAACAAGTTCTTCTCTTGGACTGACAACTTCCTTGGATCAGCAAATCCCACCAATTCCTCATCCATGTCAAGCAGTGAAGCTCTGAGCTTGTTTTGACTCAACTTATGCTCCAGCTCTCGAACCTATGGCASAAAAATGACAATTCACCCAGAGTTTTACCAGGGGCACAGTGGTCCAGCACCAACGAGGACACAGCCAAAGGCAGTTCAGATAATTCCTTGATATTGTCATGGTTAACTAACACAGAGCAGTGTCTGGTCTTCYAAATGTCAATTTAGCTGCTAATAAACATGCAGATTTTAGGGCATCTGTGCAGGAAGGAGATCTGACACCAGACCTATGGGAGATCCAAACATGGGAGATCTGTGCCTCAGTGGAGCCAAATGTGGAGACCAGGCACAAACTCCAGAGCACTGGAATTGCTGCTGTGTGAAGCCAAGTGAACTCAGCTTGTCAACTTCTCACTGCAGGCTGCTTTCTGTCAATAGAAGAAATGGGGCACTGCCTCAGCTCAGCTCTCTGCCCTGCTTTGGAAGAACCTGCCTCACTTTTGGTGCAGTGACTGGATTTATAAGACTCCCACAGAGTACAGAAGGGGCCTGAGGAGTGTGGCTCAAGGAGAAATCTCTCCATTACAGCAGAGAACAGTAGGCACAGTGTTCACATGMATCCCAGGCAGGGGGTATACCAGAAGGAAAAGGAATTTGCTTAAGGGAAAGCAGGGGTTAACAATCCCAATCAACAGGAGTGCAAAAAAATCACAGTTTGATGGCATACAATTAAACAATTGAACAGCAGAAAAATAGGAAAATTACATGTCAAATTGCCTGAGAGAAGTTTTATTTAGATGCAGACAAAACTGCCTCCCTGCCTCCTGCTGACATTTCAGCTAAACTCTGCCCTTCAGAAGACTCAAGAGTTAAAGACTTTACTGGGGCTCCCGAGGGAAGAACTTGAAAATCTTATCTGGCCTCAATTCTTCCCATCTGACTCCAAGCACTGAACAAAGGTGTCTAAGTCAGAGCACAGACACTGACAGAGCTCYTTCTGTTCTCAGTGGAGAGAGGCACCTTCAAAACACCCTGGGACTTGAACTAGGCTGCCACAGCTCTCCAAGGTCACTGAACTCCTTCCTTTGACACAGATGTGAAAGATTCCCAGCTGAAACACCAAAGCTTGCACGGCTGCAACAGGGTAATTAACATGGTCTGCACACGTCAACACAGAGATGTTAAGAATTAATGAAGAACTAACAGGAGCTTTACCTTAAATTGAGGTGATAGTYATACTTAGAAAGAGAATTCCAGCTGAAATGGCCCCATGCAGGGTTATAACTCACCTTGCTTTGGAGAATAAGAATTTGCTGAGCCCGTCCACGCCAGCTGCCAGAATTGGTCAAGAGACTTTGGATATTCACATCTTCCCCAACTTCATTGGCTAAAAGCTGGGAAAAAGGGATTAACATCAACAATAAAGCTTAAATAAATGTGTTGGGGAGAGGGGAGGAAAAGAAGCTCTCTCTAACAGGGAACACAAGCAGTCTTCAATATACACAATTATTTTTGATAGAATGTATGTTTAACCATAACTAACCAGGAAAAGTAGAGATATTGTCTTCATACACACCAATGATTGAGCCAATCTCCCTTGCACAATTCTGACACAGCTAAACTTAGTATGAAGAGCATTTAAATTATTTATAAAGAGGTCAGCAGAATTCTATTTTTAGGACCATATTCTCTAGTCTGATCTGCATTGCAGGTCTCCTACACAAAGTAGAGAAACCAAGGGAATAAGAGCACATAGGAACACTTAAATCCATCATGAATCAGAGGAAAAGGTTATTCTGGATGTCACTCCAACAAACTCTTTAAACAAATGCTTTAGTTCAAGCACAACCTTTAATCCTATTGATTCCCAKGGGACTGAAACCTACATTAAAAGTAAATATATAATTAAATGGATGGGAAAGGAGGAATGAACCTGGATGTATGTCACAAACAGTTCTGCTGATCTGGGATTTTAAAATTTTAAAGGATCTGTGCCCATTATAGCAGTGGGAATAGTGGAAACAGTGGGGGCAGAGCATGAGAACCCCATGGGCACAATTCCAATTTCGTGTCTTCCTTACCTCCCTGCTYCACTGGAATAGTTCATGGGGGCTAATCAAAGGCCAAAAGCTTCCCAATTTCCCAAGAACCTCTAGCAGGGATCCCAGCCCCAGACTGTGTCCTGCAGTGGTACCTTCTGAGTCATCTTCAGTTCCTGTTTCACAGACTGGAGCTGGTTCCGATATTCCGTCACTTTTAGGTTGGCTGCATTYAATTTTTCCTGCAATGCTTTCACCTCTGGGCTCTCAGCCTTTGAGGAGAAAAATGTGCTTAGTGAGAACAGAATCCTCAGGGGAAAGAAACTGAAGCGATTAGATTCCATCAGGACCACAGATTTTTTTTTTTTTTCCAAAACTAATTTTTGGGGTATAGAGGAGGTACACAGGAATGTGGTCCCAAAATTAATGACAATTATCCTTGTCATAAGGAAAGGACTGCACAAAAGAGAGAGCTGAGTATCAGCTCCTGATTTCCTCATTTCAATTAAAATTCCTACCAAGTTTCCTTCCAGCATTTTCAGAGTTGATTCCTTGATTCCTGCAGTATCACCACCRAGGGAATGGATTTTGTCTGTGGCTGCCTGTAGCTGGAAAAGAACCCCACTGTTACTGTGGAATGGTTACAGAGAATAGCATCCCTCCAAGGAGTATTAATTAGCAAAAAAGTACAATTTGGATGTTTATTTACTTGGAAAAAAAAACCCCAACCTTAATTTTCTCTTGTTTTTAAACACAATCAGTAGGAAAGCAACTTTTTTTTTCTTCCCAAAAAATCATGTGTTATTTTACTGAGGAATAACTTCAGAAGATATCTCTGACTTGCTGAGATGGGATCAGATGGAAAGTATGGAGACCCCTGAGGCATTTTATCACCAAAAGTACCTAAAATTAATGTTTATGTACACAAATGTAAATCCTGTCCAGCCCAGGATATTTCATGAAAAGCAAATAGTCTACTCACTAGAGGAATATAAAAGGAAAAGTGACTACCTGATTCCCTAAAAATGAGTTTTAATGGTGTTAAGGCTCTTTTTCTTTATCTGGCAACTCTAAAGTAGCATTTTTTAACCCATGAAGAGAAAAACTGTCTCCTCTTGCTTCGCACAGCAAAGGAAGACAGACATACCATCTCAATGGCTCTGAATCATGCCCTGTGTTGCTGTTCAAAAGACTTTGAAATGGATGGGAGTACAGGAATTTGGGGCTGGGAAGACCAGAAAGTCTTGCTTTAAAGGCTTGGGACTTCATTCTTTGAGGTGGGTGGAAAATCTTGATTATTTGCCTGAATTAAAGAAAGCTCTAAGGAAGAGCTCCTTCATTAAAGGGGCATCTGGGGGAAAAAATGTAACTCAGGGCCAGCTCTAATTTCATGGGTTAGGGCCACTCTTTCTACCCAGTTCATGCAGTTTTGTTGTAAATGGACTGAGAATGAGGAATTTCAGTTGGAGGTGGCAGCTGCTGGCCCAGGTTCTGAGGAATTTTTCTGCAAATATCCCTTTGCTTACATGGACCACCCTTTGCCAAGTGATTGCTCAGTGGCCAGACCTTCCATTGTCTTTGGGGGAACATAATYGTGTTAAAATACTTATGATTTACAGATTTTTCAGTTTTCATGCAAGCAAAAAGCTATACATTTACAAAATAAGTGTTTGCTATCTACCACTCAATAATTTTGATAGATACCTCCTAGTGTCAAATATTGTTTGAATTTTACACATCTTCATCTTTTGTCCTGAAATGGCTGTGGTCCATTCTCATTGGGTCAAAATCTAGAATATTTCAAGTTTCTCTTTGAATAATGGTCATAACACTTCTGCAGTAAGGGAGTAGAATCAAGTTGATTTTTTTTTCTTAAATTATTCATGAATTGCTCCACTACCTGTGTGATTTTATAGGTTCCAAACTACACCTGATACYTCTTTGYCAACCTGCCAACTGYTTGACAAGACCCCTCTGACCAGAAMATTGTGGATTTATGCAGCAGTTCTCCAAAATTTGATTTAATCTGTGACTTCTTGATCTTTCAGGCAGCTGGGGTACAACTCAGGTAGATGCATGGCTCATGATAATAAGTGATGGTGAAAGATTGAGTCAAAATGCACTTGTCAGCATTATCGATTCATTTAACTGGTGTCTTCTAAGAAAGCAAAGTTCAGGGRAAAAAWTAAAAATTATTTTTAAAAAAATCACCAATATTGTGCAAGGAAGAGGAGCAGTAGCCAAAGGACAAAGCAAACATTGACATCAGGACACCTCATTTTCAATTCAGCAGCAACCTGAGTAAAATTACTTCTGTGAAAGGTTGGCACTTTTCAAAAAGTCACAGTAAACCAGAAAAATTAATCTGCCKGACTGAAGAACTGCAGTCTTATGTGATATAATTTGGTGTTGTCTCAGTTCTGTAAGTACTTATTCCAGAAAACAGCTTTCCTTATGGTGATGACAACAGCCTAGAAGAACAAAGAACTAATTACTGACCAGTATTAAATGAGGTGGGAATGTAAAACATATAGGAATGAAATTTTCTCCTCCTCACAAAAAAAAAAAAAATCAGAAAAATATCATTACCAGACTGGTAGAAAAGTGTCTGTGCTTCTACAAGTGGACATCCCTAATGCTGTTTAATAAATCCTTGGTTCATTATGACCTGGGGGACATCCTTTCCTAGCTCCTCCTGTCTGCAGAGGGGAAACAGCTGAGGGCACACACCACGGACAGAAATGACCACATCCCAAAGCAAACAYGGATTTAAGTGCAAATTCAACATGGGAACATGAATCAAATCCATTTTCTAGCCCAAAGGCTGGATTTCCATGTTTTAGRATGCAAAAAGAGAACAAGAAAAACGCCTCACTTCTCTCTCCAGCTCCTTGATTCTGTGATTCAGTTGCTTCACTCTGGCTTTCTCACTCTCAGCCTCAGCAGTCATCTCACGGTTCTTTTTGGCCAACTCAACTATTTTAGTGGCTGCCACATCTCCAGCTAAGCCAGACACCCCTGCAAAGAACACATAAAAGCAGAGGAYACATCTTACAGGCAGGATTCAGAACAGATGATGCTTTTGTTCTCTGTCACAATGTACTTTTATTGTCCCATCCRTTCCTCTCAGAGCTGTGCCAGGCACTTAAATGAACAAGTGAGGGAAGAGATGTCAGAGGTGCCAGCTGCATGGGTTGGTCCTTTGATTCAGCAGCTCACCATGGCCACACTTCACACTTTAGCAACAGCCACATGTCACAAGGCCACAGCAGTGGATGTAGCAACATTATTACCCAGAGAGGGCAGAGGTGTTTCCGGCTCGCTGCTGGGTAGGACAGTTAGGAACAGTATTATTTGGCACATCACAGAAAAAGACAACACTCTGCTTTGCCTGGTTGTTTACTACTGGAGGAGTTGCTGGAACAGAGGTGTGAACATTTCTAGACGTCTCAAAGGTCAGGCACAATATTACAGTYGGGTCCTGGACAAGGTCCAGGAAATTTCATTGTACCTATTTATAACTCCCTGGGGATTATACAGGGAGCTTTACTGTACGACTCTTTTAATTACTCTTTTAAACAGCCATGTCACTGGCTCCCTCATCAGGGAGGGTTTGATTAGTGCCATGAACAAAGCAAACCCCAGGTGTGGCTGCTGTGTCACTTGGCTCTGGTTAACATCACCCAGGTGAAGGAAAGCTCTTGTACAACGTCAAAATCAATGTCATGGCAAACAATGTCCACAGAAACCTCCAGCTCAGCAATGAACATGAGCCTGCAACAACAAACCCTTGGTGGGGTGTGAAGACTGAACTTGGCTGCTGTCATTCCTCTTAACTCTTTCATCCTCCTTCAGTGCCCTGCAGTAATGACATTTCTATGATATTCAAGAACTGGGGTGGCAGATCACTCACAAGGGGATGCTGATCCAGTAGAACCCCAGAGACATTAAAGGGGCTGCACAGAATACAGCTGAGAACAGAATGTGATTCTATACCACTGTTTAAAAACCTTGTGGAAAATATAAATGTATTGCTTTAAAAGCATATATTTCAAAAGCATTTAAAATGCTTTTAAAAAAGCATTTAAAACAAATTTATTATTTTTAAAAGCATTTCCAGTCTTTTTACTCCTTCATGTGGTTGTGTTTGCCCTCCCACCTAGGAGTTACTTTTACCTCAGTTTTGAGGATAAACGGCTGCTGAGGACCACAGTAAATACTAAATTTACCAAAGCCAGGCTGGGTTTTCCATGTTAAATTGATGGTTTTCAAATGCACTGCACACACTCAACCAAAGCTTTYCATTCCCAAGCAATGTGGGGATTGCCACAAATTGCAGACAGAGAAAACAGAGACAAGGGGTTGGTATCAGCCAGAGGAGCTGCAACAGCACATCTGGCTCCTGGTCCTGACCAGGAAGAGCTCATCCCCTCTCCTACAGACAAACTACWGCTGGTTTTTAAGAATTAAGGTGTAATTTAATGTTATTTAATTCTCTTTGTGGCTGGTTTCCCCTTTYTCTCAAGCCTGCTCCTCACTTCTGTCCTGACCAACAGTGGCACCCAGTGGAGGAGGTGCAGCCTGCACAGCTCAGTGCTCTGAGGACACTGAAATCACTTTAGAAGCTGAATTTTGCATTCATCCAGCATCCTGCCTGTGCCCTATTCAGGCAGAAAAAAAAAGGAGCCTGAATAAGGAATTTAACTCTACATAGCAGAGAAAGCTGCAGCACAGCTCTTTGACATGAACGAGAGGTTTTCCAAAATACAATTTCTATGAAAGATGTTTCTGTGTCAATAATAACAAGTTTACAGATCTGTGAGGAACAGAGATCACTGTGCATCCTAMAAGAGCACCATTCTTTTCAGGGACGTTTTTCTGTCATCAGCATCAAGCRAACCAACATGGTGAGAATACAAAGYTGCTKYGTTTACCCGACAGAGCCAACCTGTCCTCCTGCACGCTTTTCTGGAGCTGCTTGATTTCAAAATCTTTCTCTGACACCAGTTTGTAGAGCCTRCAGTTCTCATCCCGGACCTCTCGGAGCTGATTCTGCAGCTGCTCATTTTCAGCCTCAAGAAAACTGTGGAAAAAAATAAACCATAATGGCAAATAATGTACAAATAGGTGCTCCTAGAAATCAAATCAAAACAGCTGCATGATAGATGGGATGAGGTTACCAGGACTGAGCTTACTGAATTAAGCAGCATAAAAACCTAAACTGCAAATAAGAACACGAGCTGATTATTTGATCTATTCAGGTAACTACTTTAAAATAAATCTGCACTTTTTTGAGCTGTCTGGGGCAAAACACTACAGAACAGGTGTATTTTCGGTGCTCTTGAGGTTACCAGATAGTGTCACCTCACTCAGTCTTACCTGGTTCTTCAGAGGGAATCAGGCAGCATTCAGCATGTGGGACATTCAGGATTTATTTTCTGCACTTGACAAAGCCAAGAGAAGCCAACAGAGCATCGGCTACAAAGCTGCCCCTGGGKTCCTTTAAAAATGAATGTTTTAGAGCAATTCATAAAAGACTGATTTCCTGTGGCCTCAGCTGATTCTCTGGGAACCCCATGAGCATGGACTGGCATCAGTTTGTATTGTTAATGGTGCCTTTTGGAATTCATTTAGGAATAGAGAATCTCAAAAAAAGCCCTATSAATGGGAAGAAATAGCCTTGCTTCTCCTATTCTTCAGTACATTTAAAGGCTTCATCTCTCTAAGACATCCAGAGAATTAATAACTTTAATCTCTTTGCTGTTCTTACGTGATGGGTCCTCCAAATATAAAATCCAGGAGCTGTGGCCTCAGGGGCTCAATTAAATCATGGGAATTCAGAATTATCTGAGCTCCCTGACACAGGATCCTTCAGCAAACTTGGGAATCCATACAATTATTGATTTTRTTGGTGTCATTTGGGCTGCCCACCTGCTGTTGGTGGAAGATGAAGGTGTCCTGTGCCCTATGATTCCCATGTGGAAGTTCCTGATACCCTCCAGAATCTCAGATATCATCAGACACCTAAATCAGCTGGATGAATTGACTCCCAGATTATTATCCACAGGGTAACCATAAATGTTTCCATTTTGGAGATTTGATTTGCATGAAGCAYATTTGTTACAGTATGTATATGTAGACACAGCCACCGCAAAGTYAGGCATCTCAATAATCATCTCAATCTTTTTTTATTCCAAAGTTTAGCAAGCTTTTAGCCCCCWCTGGACCTGAGAGTTTTTAAATGCACCCTCCATGTACCCATGTCGAATAAATGACCCCTTAAAGCAATGTCATAAACAGCACAGCCGGTGTAGGAGAGGATTCACAATCCATAATTAAGAAATGCACTTGTGTTTAATGCTGCAAATCAAAGGGAGATCAAAGGCAGCTGTTTACAAAGGAGAAGAAAGCAAGGAGCAATGTGAGCAGAGGCAGAACTGAGTTATTCCCACATGAACCACTCAGAGAAATGAGCAACAAAACTCAGATCCAATTAGAGACACTTGAACCAAAAGACTTTCAACAGTTGGGGGATTACCATGAAAAAAAGATTCTAAGCTCTTAACACACCTGATCAGTGAAGTCTTTCTCAGAGCTGGAGTCCAAGTCTTGAGAAAAAAAGCTCTTAAAGGAGGATGGATAGAAACCGCAATTGCACAGAGCTGGAGTATCCCCTGAGGAACTTCCCACCCCATCCCACAGTGACTCTCCCTGTCACAGAGGTAGCAGGTTCCACCCAAGTGTYTCAGCTCCAGAAAATCAGCTAAAAGAAGCTCCAAAAGGTGGCCCTTTTCACTGTAGTTCAAGGAATCAGAGGCAGGTGAAGGTTATCAGCAGGGCTCTGCCTGGAATTCAAGTGTTTTCCTAACCTGCATGCCCTGTTCAGGCCAGAAAAATAGTAAGGAATTTAACTTTTGTCAAATTGTGTCTTTTCCAATTCTTGTTACAGACTCTCCAGTTGATGGGGRGAGTCACTTAAATATATTTGAATACACCAAACAAGGAAGGGTGAATAAAGTTAGAGAGAGAACATGACAGAGAGGCAGAAATATCAGCTAAACAATTGCCTAAACAAGATTTGAGAGCAGGATGGGAGGAAGGAGAAAAGAATTCCCAAGGCTCAGAGGATGGAGGACTTCTGAGAGGAGAATGTTTTCCAAGTGCTGCTATAAACAAGTGACAAGCTGAAATCACTGCCACTGCAGGCCATRTGGAGTCCTGTGATCCTGAACAATCCTCTGATGTGTTGTCATGGGAATACAGCAGAGCACATCCTGGTGAATCCCTTCCAGAAACAAATCCTGCCTGGATTTGATATGCTCACAACCACTGCTCCCCTGAATGCACACAAGCAAAGGACAATGCAGATAAATCTGCTACACCTGTCATGTCAAATGGGGGCCTTTGGCAGCCAGTGACACACAAACAGAGGTAAATAAAAACTCTGGGATTACTCAGGCCTTAACTACTGAASTCTAAATAGCAGAGAACTGCTGGGACTTTCCTGTACTCTACACACTGCACATGTTGTGCCACTGGAGTAAACTCCTCTCCTCTCCCAGACAAACATCTGATCCATGGGAATCAGCCTTGCAGATTTTTTTTWAAAAATCAGATGTCCGTCATAATCTTCTATACATTATCAGGACAAAATGTTGAAGGGTTGACAGCTGGTASAGGTCAGATCAGGAGCTTGCCTTGGCAATTCAGACAGCTCTGGTGAGGGACCAGTGTGCAAAGGAATTTCTTCACCTGGTTTCACCACTACCACAGAGCAAATCCCTGAACAGCCAGCAATGCAGACATCTTTGGGGTGTATCCAATCTCAGACCTGCTCTAGTTAGGAAAAGAAGTATTAATTAGCTCAGAAGGAAARGCTGGCCATATCCTGGGAGGAGAAGAAATTATTTGAGCTGGGGTTTCAAATCTCTGCTCCAGTAAGTAATGTACTCATTTCAAAAAACACCAAGATTAAGGGAGATCCATACCAAGATGCCCAATGTCTTGGTAATCTTGTGATCCACTAGATCAGGATATATTGCAAAGAAAGCCCAGGGAGCACTTTACTCCACTGCAGACCTTTGGCTTGCTCTCATTAGCTGCTTTGCCTCTGTCYATCTTTGGAAATTATTAATGTAGGGAAACTGCTTCCTTAAGGCTAGGCAGGAACTAATTAACAGTTCAGAGGGTGTCAGRGATCCATCCCAAAAGGCTGGGTTTTGCTAGATAGTACCTGGCTGCCCTAATGTCATGATAGTACATGTCACCTTAAACCCCCTCTGTCATTGCRCTCTTCATTTGTGAAACACTGATAACAAGGTCACTGCACCACACCCTGAGGATAATTAGGGACAGGGAGAATCTCCTCAGGATAATGAAAGYGCAGTGTGAAGACAGAAGATGTCTTGTCACCTTAGTAATATTGAGTTTCATGAGAGCATAAGCCAAATACTTCAGTGATTTCCTGAAGGAATGGTGCTGCCACACCTTTACCTTTTTCTGCCATCTTCATTTACAGARGATCTTTTCAGCAGGTTTAGATCATCCAGGCTTCTTAAGGTCTCCCKTGAGCTGCCAGTGTCCTTCTGACTGCTCTGCTTCTCCTTCTTCCTCGCYATCACATTTTGCAGCCGCTTTCGTTGTTGCTCCTGATAAGTCTTAAACTGGCTTTTTAAACCTTCATTCACTTTCAYGTCTGACTCCATTGTTCACTAAAAGCGTAACAAGAGGAAAATAAAAAGTGACAGAGAGCAGAGATCAGCACTGCTTTGGAAAACATTCCCTTCTGGCAGCTGCTCCACAGCTTTTCCTCCCTGACCTCTGTCCAGTCTCCCACCACCTCCTTCTCCTCCTCTCCAGCCCCACGGCCTTGTTTCAAGTGCCTTTTTCCATAAATGGCTTTTAARCAGACTTTAAAAAAAGTTGTCGGGTCTTTTTCACTCCAGAATTCAAAAAACAACATTTCAAAATGTTCTTAAACAGATCTGTTTAAATAAACATTTTAGGAGAGGAGCAGGTTGAGGCCAAATCCAAGCAAATGTGGCAGCCACGTGACACTGGCTGAAGGGAGCATGGARTGTTTGGGGCCATGCAGCCTCCCTGCCCATGTTCAGGAAAGGTGCAAATCCCCCCATTTTTGGGTTAACGGGGGACTGATRGGAAGAAAAATCTTATTTTCTCCTTGCACTTCCTTTGGGCAAGACAAGAATGTGGCTTACACCTTTACTCCAGATTTCTAATCACTGAGTGATAACATTAAATGATGAAATAACAATATATTTATTATTAAATATATTCAATTATACATATATATACATTTTATATCTATATATATATAAATAAATATATATATATATATATAAATATAGCATATTATTATGTAATAATGCAGCTACTCAAAGTTTCTGAGGATGAAAAAAGACAACCAGTTTTCTGATATATTCCAGCCCCCTTCTTCTGTGTGACATGGATTGTCAGCAAAATACCCCTACAGCACCTTTGATCTAGGCAWATCAATCCATAAATACTTCCAAAGGCACACCCTGCACTGAGTAATTAATGCAGGCCCTTTCCCACACTGAAGGAAATCCAATTATCCTGATTAATGCAACAAAATGCAGCGTGTCCCTTTGTGCCTGTGTGTACCTTATGGGAAGAGACTCACCTGGACAAGGTGCACTGAGGATTGACAAGTGCAAAGAGCAGAGTCTGGTGCCTCTGCACGGCCCTCAGGGCTCTGGTATGAGGCATCAAAGAATTACTGAATCATTAGGGCTGGAAAATTAATTTTAATTGATTAAGGTTGATTCTGTGATTTGGAAAAAGCCTATAGAGATAAGGAGTCCATTCACTTAGGAAAAATGTATATGAAATTTAGGCAGCCTTTCAGGTTTCAGTAACCTTTGGGTTGATAACTAAATTTATAATTACATTGGACCTCTCTAAATTGGATAAATTTAGCCACTGACCTTAAAGATAGCAAAGATAAGCAAGAACCTCTTCAAACAGTAGTTRTCTCTGTTCTGAAAATATCCTAGCATTCCTAGTAGAGTAGCTATTTCAGGCCTTAAATCATCTTTATCATTTTTCTCAGCACTGTGTTTACTATTTGCACTGTGCTGATTAATTAATTTACTATTTTATTTATTTATTTATTTACATGTCTATAGGCCAGAAACGTGCACAGTACTCAAGGTGCTGCTCCATCACACRATGCTACAATGGCAAAGCGTTCTAAGATCTTTGAGTCCAACCATTATCCCAGTGCCACTACCAAACCGTGTCCCCAAGTGCCACATCCACGTGTTTTTTGAACACTTCCAGGGATGGTGAYTCCAACACTTCCCTGGGCAGCCTGTTCCAMTGCCCAGCCACTCTCCGGATGAAGAAATATTCTGCAATGTCTCATCTAAACCATCGCTGGCTCSAACCAGGAGGGCTCCAAGGCAGGGTCACCTGGAGCAGGAACTCATGAAGGGGCCTTGGCAAAGTCTCCAGAGAAGGAGGCTCCGCACTCTCTCTGGCCAGCCCTTTCCCTCAGCGGAAAGAATTTCTTGCTCATTTTCTGGCGGAACTTTTTTGCGGTTCCGTTGACAAATTACAATTGCAAACCTTTAACTGCAATTGTCATTCTCCTGCCTCGCCCTGTGACCTGCCAGGACCTGCCAAGTCCTGGCAGGCAGAGCCGCGCTGTTCCCCTCCCATCCCCATAGCGGGACCTCCTGCCCGCGTTTCCCGCACCCCTGGCGGCCTACCCGAAGC